CCGATCCTATCCGATCCTATCCGATCCTATCCGATCCTATCCGATCCTATCCGATCCTATCCGATCCTATCCGATCCTATCCGATCCTATCCGATCCTATCCGATCCTATCCGATCCTATCCGATCCTATCCGATCCTATCCGATCCTATCCGATCCTATCCGATCCTATCCGATCCTATCCGATCCTATCCGATCCTATCCGATCCTATCCGATCCTATCCGATCCTATCCGATCCTATCCGATCCTATCCGATCCTATCCGATCCTATCCGATCCTATCCGATCCTATCCGATCCTATCCGATCCTATCCGATCCTATCCGATCCTATCCGATCCTATCCGATCCTATCCGATCCTATCCGATCCTATCCGATCCTATCCGATCCTATCCGATCCTATCCGATCCTATCCGATCCTATCCGATCCTATCCGATCCTATCCGATCCTATCCGATCCTATCCGATCCTATCCGATCCTATCCGATCCTATCCGATCCTATCCGATCCTATCCGATCCTATCCGATCCTATCCGATCCTATCCGATCCTATCCGATCCTATCCGATCCTATCCGATCCTATCCGATCCTATCCGATCCTATCCGATCCTATCCGATCCTATCCGATCCTATCCGATCCTATCCGATCCTATCCGATCCTATCCGATCCTATCCGATCCTATCCGATCCTATCCGATCCTATCCGATCCTATCCGATCCTATCCGATCCTATCCGATCCTATCCGATCCTATCCGATCCTATCCGATCCTATCCGATCCTATCCGATCCTATCCGATCCTATCCGATCCTATCCGATCCTATCCGATCCTATCCGATCCTATCCGATCCTATCCGATCCTATCCGATCCTATCCGATCCTATCCGATCCTATCCGATCCTATCCGATCCTATCCGATCCTATCCGATCCTATCCGATCCTATCCGATCCTATCCGATCCTATCCGATCCTATCCGATCCTATCCGATCCTATCCGATCCTATCCGATCCTATCCGATCCTATCCGATCCTATCCGATCCTATCCGATCCTATCCGATCCTATCCGATCCTATCCGATCCTATCCGATCCTATCCGATCCTATCCGATCCTATCCGATCCTATCCGATCCTATCCGATCCTATCCGATCCTATCCGATCCTATCCGATCCTATCCGATCCTATCCGATCCTATCCGATCCTATCCGATCCTATCCGATCCTATCCGATCCTATCCGATCCTATCCGATCCTATCCGATCCTATCCGATCCTATCCGATCCTATCCGATCCTATCCGATCCTATCCGATCCTATCCGATCCTATCCGATCCTATCCGATCCTATCCGATCCTATCCGATCCTATCCGATCCTATCCGATCCTATCCGATCCTATCCGATCCTATCCGATCCTATCCGATCCTATCCGATCCTATCCGATCCTATCCGATCCTATCCGATCCTATCCGATCCTATCCGATCCTATCCGATCCTATCCGATCCTATCCGATCCTATCCGATCCTATCCGATCCTATCCGATCCTATCCGATCCTATCCGATCCTATCCGATCCTATCCGATCCTATCCGATCCTATCCGATCCTATCCGATCCTATCCGATCCTATCCGATCCTATCCGATCCTATCCGATCCTATCCGATCCTATCCGATCCTATCCGATCCTATCCGATCCTATCCGATCCTATCCGATCCTATCCGATCCTATCCGATCCTATCCGATCCTATCCGATCCTATCCGATCCTATCCGATCCTATCCGATCCTATCCGATCCTATCCGATCCTATCCGATCCTATCCGATCCTATCCGATCCTATCCGATCCTATCCGATCCTATCCGATCCTATCCGATCCTATCCGATCCTATCCGATCCTATCCGATCCTATCCGATCCTATCCGATCCTATCCGATCCTATCCGATCCTATCCGATCCTATCCGATCCTATCCGATCCTATCCGATCCTATCCGATCCTATCCGATCCTATCCGATCCTATCCGATCCTATCCGATCCTATCCGATCCTATCCGATCCTATCCGATCCTATCCGATCCTATCCGATCCTATCCGATCCTATCCGATCCTATCCGATCCTATCCGATCCTATCCGATCCTATCCGATCCTATCCGATCCTATCCGATCCTATCCGATCCTATCCGATCCTATCCGATCCTATCCGATCCTATCCGATCCTATCCGATCCTATCCGATCCTATCCGATCCTATCCGATCCTATCCGATCCTATCCGATCCTATCCGATCCTATCCGATCCTATCCGATCCTATCCGATCCTATCCGATCCTATCCGATCCTATCCGATCCTATCCGATCCTATCCGATCCTATCCGATCCTATCCGATCCTATCCGATCCTATCCGATCCTATCCGATCCTATCCGATCCTATCCGATCCTATCCGATCCTATCCGATCCTATCCGATCCTATCCGATCCTATCCGATCCTATCCGATCCTATCCGATCCTATCCGATCCTATCCGATCCTATCCGATCCTATCCGATCCTATCCGATCCTATCCGATCCTATCCGATCCTATCCGATCCTATCCGATCCTATCCGATCCTATCCGATCCTATCCGATCCTATCCGATCCTATCCGATCCTATCCGATCCTATCCGATCCTATCCGATCCTATCCGATCCTATCCGATCCTATCCGATCCTATCCGATCCTATCCGATCCTATCCGATCCTATCCGATCCTATCCGATCCTATCCGATCCTATCCGATCCTATCCGATCCTATCCGATCCTATCCGATCCTATCCGATCCTATCCGATCCTATCCGATCCTATCCTATCCTATCCTATCACTACTTTCTTATGGTATTGTCCTAGCGAAGAAGATGTAGCGCTAACACTTACGCAGGGAGAATATACTAGAGTGCTGTCAGGTCACGAGGAACTCGTTTCTTCACCGATGGACAACACTGGGATATGATGGCGTCCTCAGTCAGCGGACCACTAAGGCCGTCAGTCTTGTCACTTTTTATATCAGGAGCATCTGTAGTAGTGATGTGCGACGTATGATGCCTGTCTATCAGTATCAGTATCAGGATCAATCCCTTGACTCGTTTAGCATGTTACATCCATGTTAGGTAAATGAATGAGTGAATGTGTGAGTTCACTTACTTACTTTCTTGTCTACTTCGTAGTTCTCATAAAAACACTCCCCTCTTACCTCCAAATCTTTCCTCTTTGTGTGCGTTTCATGAGTAGGACTGACAGTAGCAGGGGTGATTTCATTAGCCTTGCTTCGATCTAGAATCCCAACATTATTCAGAGTTCAACTTCAATTACTTCGTCTACATCAATCTCAATGGGTGAATGAGTGAATCAATGACTGAATGAATACTACCACCACGCCACTAACATTACTACCACTCTTCTAATCTTAAGAACGAGTTCGATGCGGACCTGCACCGTTTACTCGGAAACTTCTACTCCTACGGACCTATTGACGCAGCCTGCCTGGGTCAAGGCACTCTATAAGGCTTGGATCGTACAAGTGGTATAATTGAATCCATTTTTTTCAGTCAAGTCACGCATCCTAGGACTTTCAGAGAAACCATCCTAAGAGAGAGACTTGATTGACCTCAGTTTCAGAGACGTCATCCTAGGAAGGATAGGTGCTTTACAACCTCAAGGGGAAAGAGGGCATCTTGTGGAGTATCCTCAAGAGGCTTTTCATTTGCAAAGTGTGCCAGGATGTGCTATCTATCTCAACAAGATAGAGACCCGTCTCCAGGATACATGTACTACTAACTAGTATCTCAATCATTCTCAATCTCAGGACAATGGATTAAGGAATAGGCTTACAGGTCTAAATTCTTAGACTACTACTATAACAGTAGCGTCTCACAACTCAGTAGCTTCTCACTCCTGGGGAATGAGAACGGACTTGCCATGGTAAGTAGCAACAGCAGTAGCGTCTCCATGGTAACTGAAGAGAATTCAGGAACATGGAATCCGAATTCAGGAACGTGGTCGAATCAAACGCTTCTCTCGTCGGGTCACAACAGATACGTCCTCCGCGGGTCGTCCGCTTCAGTTTGGGGTATACTCAATTATCTTTAAGTAGCAATGCCAATGTAGTTTAGTTTATCTGTTCTTGAAGTTTACGAACATCTTCGAGAAGATCATCAACATATCAGATGAGTCGTGAGCACATCGTGACTGTTCCAATATGACGCTTTTCCTATGTTGTTGCTTTTTCTCCAAAGGAGGTTTTTTTTCATCCATGACCCTGAGTGACCGATCAACCTAGGACTCATGGCATTATCTCTGACCGAGACCGATCAGTTTATGGCATCATGATATTATCCATAATTTTTAGATATTACTCCTGGATATCGTCTCTATCCTCATCCTATCTCCTTACACACCCATTTACCCTGTAATCACAGCACGAGATGTCGACGGAGCAAAAATCATATCTCAGGAGATGGACGATTCTGGAATTTCGGACATCTTCGCTGACTGTTTGGCTGCGTTTTTCTTGGTCTTCTTGCTGCTTTCTATTTACGGAGATAAGTAGTATCATCATCATTATCATCAGTCGTCAGTCATCATCAGCCACTCAATTTTTTCACTCATGGAAATAAGTCTAAGTTCTTGGCAATTTCCTTGCGCTTCAACTTGACTCATCCAAGTTCAAGAACGCTGTAGTACTTCTAAAGGACTGCCCCGGTCGATCCACCTTAGTCTGGTACCTACTTATAGCGCTAAAAATTGTATGTCCTTGGAGGCTTCGCCACACCTGGTCGTTGGAGACAAGATCAAAAAAAGGCTGACGTTAGCGACCAAAAAAGGTCGCAACTGATACCGAGATGGAAATCGAAGCGTCGCCACAGATTTTGAGGCGTTCGCCAGTCTGTCAATAGTTTGTGTTTGTCATGCTATAGAAATATCGAGCATATGGATTATCGACCATTTTTGCCATATTCGTTAGTGTAAAAACAAACCGGACGAGAGCATTGTTGTAGACGTTTCCGGTTCGATATGATTAATTTGACTAGATCGGTGCCGTGGTCTATCTTGCCTATCTCGTCGGTTTCGATGTTGTGATGCTTCCAATTTTCCTGATACTGTTATTAGTTTGTCACTGTCTATCGCATTCGCATACTAATTTCCCCGTACTAGAATGAATGAAGATAGAACCGTTCCTGCTGACCGACGGCTAACCGACCTGACGACGGGCCCCATAGGCGTTGACTAAATTGATCACTATGCTTGATAGGTTTTCTTCTTTTCTCTTCTGTAGTTAGGACTCGATCGATCCACTGGGAATTCAAGGTCGATACAACTGCCACAGCAAAAAATCTTGGTGTACTCTCTTAAAAACATACTTGAGATACTCTTTTATTGGAAATCTTATTCAAGTACTAGAACTAGTGTATAAATAAGAATAGCTTCTATTTGTGTCTGACCATCAAGTCGTCGCGACTACTAGACTACTTTTTTGGAGATTTACTACGAACACAGAAAGAGCGCACAAAGTATTGATATCATCATAAGTAGTTGGATTAACTTTTACCACGACACTCTTACCTGTAAGATGTACTTTGTGACTTAGTTACCTCACTGACTCTCACAAAACAAGATCACTGCGAAGAAGAAGAAGCTGCGCATGAAATGCTATTGGATTACTTAAAAATCATAATCAATGCTTAACTTTTGAAGATTCATCTAACAGAGTTAGACACTCTGTCTTTGAGGATTCCAACACCATCCAGAAAAAGACTCTACTGCGTCAATGTCTTGCATTTTCGATCACCTCTCTTACCTCGTTATGAATCTATAGGAGTTAATAGCTACTCAGTGCAAACTATTTTTTGAAACTACAACAAACATAATCTTCACGCAATTAATATGATAAGTCGAGGATGTCATATAATTTGTTTTGACAGAATAATGTGGAGAGTACATCAACAAACCGATAAGCATGAGAAAGTGTCGTGGCCAACATGTCATCTAGCAACGTTTCATCTAGCATCACTGAAATTCATTCTCTGGCTTCTCCGGATGATACGTGCTGCAATCGAACAGATGCAATCAATTTCTTTCTTTGAAGTGAAATAGTTTCTAACATAAGGACATCTATGTGTTGGAGGACTCGTGGCCTGCGACGAGGGATACACGTACGAAGTGGATATCTGTGAAAACTATAGCGAAGTACCTAACGAATAAGGATCGTGAAGGTAAAGTGTTTGAAGAAGTTGACGTCTTTTCTGCTCTGCTCGATGACCTTAAATCTGGGTCCGTGAGGGTCTTTTGGACAACACACTGGGAAGAGGAAGTAAAGTACGAGTACATTTCCCATATTGCGTTAGCGAGGAGATAAAGCACATACTGAAAAAGAAAACTAAGAAACACAAAAATAAAAAAAGAGAAGTTTCCATTTAGATAGTTGAGAGTGGACAAGAAGGACATGATGGAGTTTGCGAAAGCTGCGAAGCTTGAGCGACCTATCACGTTCAAGCAGTATCTTCGTCTGAAAGTTTGTAAACATGTCAAGCGTCTCCGCCAGTATACTAAGTTCGCAGGCGAAGTGGTGAAGTATTTGAAACGCGACCTTCCAGCTCGCCAAAAAAAAGAGAACCTCTCTGACCACGCGATGATTGGCATCTATGCCTCTGCGGTGAAAGACGTCGTTGGTGACATCGTAGGTAACATGGGGGATTGGTCGCCTCTGACAAGTATCACACGCTGTCAGTCATCAAAGAATGTAGTGCCTGTGGGTATTCTGAAGTTCTTTGAAAGAGAGGAGTCTGTCGTTAATGAGATGCTTCGTTTTGTCTTCAAAGTGGAAGAATTGATAAGTGAAACAGGGTGGCCAATCCAGGCTGAGCTTAGACTCTCGGGCGAAGACGGGGCGAAAGTCTTTGAAGAGTTGCGTCTGTATGTTTGCTCAGGTCTTAGCGCGCATAAGCACGATTTCAACTACTCTACTGACAGGGCAGAAGAACTGTTGACTTTTGGTGCGAAGCTTTCGTTGGCGCAGGTTGGCATCGGGCCCTTCGATCGTGAAGTGGACCGCCGCCTCGCGTCAGCGCTCAAGCTGGCCACCTCCTTGTGTGAAAAATGGCAAAACGCTTTGGCAGCATACAACCACGCAAGTAGGGAGTTCGCTTCTAACTTTATGTTCTTCACACAAGTAGAAAAATTGCAAGAGAAGTGTGAAGGGCATAACCAGGCTGAATACGTTCTTGTGCTGATCGAAAGGAGTAAGAAACGTTTAGAAGAATTAGAATCTACTAAAGCTGGCCAGGGAGAATTGAGCTTTTTGTTAGAGATCATGGGTAGAGAAGAAGAGATGAGGAATGTTGAATCCGTGTTTACCCTTGGGGCGATTTTGAAACAACACAGTCAAGAAATGGGGGATCGCGTGAGAGATCTACGCCCAAGGTTCAGCTATTTCACCAAGGAACATTTAAGGAATGAAAAAGGAACAATTGGAAAATGTTTGTGCGAGTTTTCGGATAGTCTCACCCAATCAGGGATCCTTCTCGTTAAGACGTTCAGACTTCGTAACCGGCACTGCTATCGCCCATAGCAGCTGCCAACGGTTATGATAAATAACAGAGAAGATAGAGAACCTCAAATAGTTAGAAAAGAGTAGAGGTAGTGGCCTAGGCCTGCTAACACGCTAGTTTGCAACCGCTCATCCGGGGCCTTCCGCTAGAATAGGCAACTCTCGCACGCGGGCTATGTGCCTCGGGCGACGAACTTTGCCAGTCAGAAATTGAATCACTATTCAACATTTAATTTCTTTTTACTCTTCGTAGTAGGTGCCTGTAACTGGAGAAACGAAGAACGTGCAGTGTCGTTTAGAAGTCGTAAAGAAAGCGGGTATAAAAAATAGTAATGAAAGGTCAGCCTCGCACGACTACGCACACGAAGTTACTCAAGCTTCTGAGCAGTGTGTGGTTCTGCGATGGCACTGAAAGGTAGAAAAAGTGTTTGTAGAAGCTACGATACTGAAAGTAGTTAAAGAAATAGCATAAGTGAAAGATGGATGAGAAAGAGGTATCTGAAGCTGAAGTAAAGAAGACTCCTCGTCTCCGAAGACGCAAGAAGGAGAGGAGAAGGATTTGGAAGGGCTTCCGAATGCAGCTTGCACCACTGAGAATAAACTGGCGCAGGATATTAAAGATTCGTGGGAGTAGAAGCGAGCTATTTGAAGGTTGTGCATCCCCCTACATCAACAAGAAACTGCAATTCAAGAGGGATGGTCTTGCTCTTCCTGCGCCCAACGTCTTGTCAGTGAGGAAGAAGAGGAGGCTGATGCGTCGTCGCAGACTCGTTTTTGATTCAGAAAGCGATAGGTCGGAGATCGCAGATATGGCAACGCACAAACGGTACGCGATCTCCATCAACGACTACAAGGCGTGGCTCGACGAGGCACACTTACAAGGCGCAGAACATGGCTGGGCTGCATGGAAAGCATCAGGATATGATGAAATTATGTCGTTGCACGACTTTAGACGCGGCAAAGGCGTATGGCGTCGCGAGACGATTACTGGCAAAACACGTCTGTCGTGGCCGGACTGGCACAAGAAATATCGATCAGACTTCCCCGATGTTGCGGCTTGTCGGCGTAGTGCATACCTTGCGAAACTGACAAGAAATCACAGGCTGTTACAACGGGCGAAGTTAGTGGTGCCAGGAATTCACGATCTGGTGGGCGTGGATCTTGGCGAAGCGCTAGCAGTTTACGTCTCGACATACGAGGCAAACACTTGGGTACGTCTTATGGGACAGCCGGCACCGACAGAAATTGCACCTCCGAAGAAGGACATGATACCCGAAAAAACGAACAAAAAAAAAGCATTTAAGACCGCCCATGAAAATGCTAAAAAGAACAAAAAAAAAAAAATGACTTCACATAGATGACCGTTACGTGATATGTGTGAATGGTTGATACGAACGTTGTTTTTCCCCGGCTTTGTGTAAGCGTGTCAGCTTCCTAGGTGTTTTGTAATTTGGAAATATTAGGTGTTCGTACGTCGGCTTTAGTTTTCCTACACTGATCGGTTGTTTGTTGCGAGAACTAACATGTGTTGTGTACAAGGAGTTGTCAGTGATTGAATAAGTGAGAATTCGACGAGGGCGGGTCGAAGTAGTAACATAGATATCGAATAACGAAGTTATGGAGCAGCATCGAGACGACGGCAGCGCACAATGAAAGAATACCGAAGAAATGAGAGAGGAGAATTAGAGCGTAAAGGATCCGTAGTCATTGTTCATCGTCCGAGTTTATACTCCAGGTCGAAGTCGAAAGAATTAGATGGATAAAAGGTTCGACAAATCATAATGCATAGACAAGAAATAATGATCAATGTATAAAGGATACCTAAAGGTCAAAAGGAAGTATGTCGTCCTTCAGAGGCGATAATCGGTCCCAGGTCCACAGCTTTATTGGTTCTTCTGAAACCAACGATATCCGCAGGCGCACCTCGCGGACCACAACCTAACCTAACCTAGTTTCTTTAATTCTAAGGCCAATGAGATTGTTAGGGTACTACACATGGCAGGAGAAGCTTACTTTGCTTGAGTAACATCGTCGAATCATGTCGTTTCTTCAATTCGAAGAGTTTATTCGGATTGGTCGTACGAGTGCAGTTTTGTACCCATTTTCCACGAGGGGAGAGAACATTATCCAGGAGAAATGAGCGATGGCATGATTGTACTCGAACAGGACTTTCTCTTCGTCCAGTTGAATTGGGCATCACTACAGATTCGATTCGTGATTGGTACAACGTGAGTGAGGAAGTCGTGATTGCGCCGGTTTAGGAACACCTGAGTGGAAAACTTATTTCATTTTAATGAACCTATAAACGCCATTCCATTTCCAATCGAAAAAATCTTTTAATCTTCCACTTTAGAGGGTCGGGTGGATATTATTCATCACGGGACGAGAGAGAGAGTTGCCAGCACTTGAAGATTGTCTTGTAAGTAATCTTCAGTTTCCCTACAGTCAGTGGCGTTGTTCTTTTTTCTTCTTTCCTAACGATTTCCAAGGATGGAGTTTGTCAGGGGCCTCTGGAACCGCGCGACAAACCGCGCGACAAAGTTCTTCAACGAACGTTGGAACACGGTTTCCTTGCCTGTGGAGGGGCCTGTGAAGTCGTCCCTACCAAAGCAGAGGACAAACACGTACGAGGTCCCTCCCGCGTTGCAGGACTGCAGCGCGGCATTGGATGAGTTACGCTTAGACATCAGGCATCTACTTGCGTGCGCGACTGGACTACCTGAACAAGCTGCGGATGCGTCTGGCGGCTTCGACACTGCAGCATGCATTAGTGACGAACAGTTAAAGAAGAGAGGACTAAAAGATAATCACCAGAAGGACGCGTTCAAGAAGAAGCTACAGGAGGTGCGCGGCCTTTTCAAACAGTGGCAGAAGACGTTCACAGCTATGCTCGTTAGTCAACCCGAACTTGGAAACTTCTGGAGGAGAGATGTAGAGGAGTATTGGCCGCTTCGTCTCGATGATAACGAACTTGCTATTGGACTCCACTATCAATACTTCCACCACCAAACTCGCGATACTCTGGCACGCGACTTCAATACAAAACTTCGTGAACTACTTCTTCCAGATGAAGAGCACTCCACGACAACTGTCAAGAAATCGGAGGCGCAATGTGAAGTGCAGGCATCAGGCGGAAAGATGCAGAGTACTTCGCTTTCGGTAGAAGACATCTTCTTCTACATCAGCAACCCCTCTGCATTCCTAGTAGGTCCAGAATCTGTTACTTACGACCGGGTTACAAGAGTGATGACTGCACCGGTGGAATTCGTTTTACGCTTCCGCTTCACATTTTTGACGAATATTAGCGAGCAGAACAGCTTAAGTTCGCGACTGAGTGATCGTGTAGAAGGAGTAGACGGCACGGAGGAGGGCATCCACCTCTCCTTCACGCACAGGGTTGACAACGCCGAGTTTGCGGTAGCGAAAGACCCGTATGGGAGGGTACAGCACCGAAAGAGGCATCTCTGGAGACTGCTTCGCGACAAGGAGGACAGAAACCGAAGAGTCATCGACAAGGACTTCGTAACCAATCCTCGCTTGCCTAGTCCGGGCGTCCACCTTACACCCGAAAACTACGAGCGCACTTCTCTTTACAACATTCCGGTGAGCGATGATGAAATTAAGCGCTTCGAAGAGAAATTGCAGCAACTGGCCGCACAGCAACCGGCCGAGGAGGGGAACAACGATAACCGAGTGGCGTCGTCTGCCTTGGAGAGTCGTGCGCTGGAGATGCCGGCTCCTTTGCAGACACGCAACCTGAATGGTCTAGCGTCTGCGAAGAACAATCTACGCGGTTCAGGTAGTTCTGATACTCATACTCACTTCGTGCGATTCTCCTATTTCTAAGTATTTAAATTTATGTTTTTTTAGATACTGAGTGACTCAGATTCTGATTTTATTTTTAGGCCATTTTCTTATGAAGAATGTAAACGTATCTACGTAGAAGGGGAAGGCAACAGTTGACATCACGTGAAAGTATTGTCTTCTAGTCTAAACGTGATGACATCTACTTCCAACCCACCTACCACTACTAGGACGAAGCCTCGCAGTCAACGATATGAACGCTATTAACGATGAGGAAAATATGAACGGTGACGGAAGCGCGATGGTTTTTCTTGGCATGGCTGGTGCAGGAGTCGTTTTATTGTTGCTTTATTTCTTCTTTCGGCGTCGTGCGGGTGCGCGTGGCTCGTCTAAAAAGACGATGGTCCTCTCGCTTAGTAGCGACGCTGAGGAACAAGAACAAGATGTCACCAATGTTGGGACCTATGACAGTGTCGCTCTCGACGGAGATGCTCTCGATGCGAGTATGTTTCACGAGGCGAACGAGGGCCAAAATACATCGTACCACTTTTTTATAGGATCGATTTTGAAGATTTTCATTTCTAATATTGAGCATGTCCGTTGCTCTGAACCTTCTTTCAAGTTCGATTTTGCCATAGCTAGAAGATTAAGTTCCAACCAAATTTTTCGTCGAAGTAAATTATATCAAGAAAATATCGTCTACTTCTACTTCCACTACAAACTCCAACCGCAGCACGATTTCTACGCTCGGTCGACGCATGTGCCTCAAAAATGGTGTCTGGTTCAAGATGGACGACTCTGCCACCACGTCGGACGTCAAACAGGCAAACAATCAATCAAGCGGATTTCCCTTGCTTGTCGCGCGCGGAGGCGACGTTGCCACGATGTCTTCGTACCACACTTTTTATGTTGTTCCTTTTATCTACATCTACTTTTTCCTACTCTTTGTAATTCGTCTCTTTGTATGAAGATTTAGGAGAAGATACATAGTAAGAGCCTTCGTGTGGCTTCATCTTCGAAATACGATATTTTCACGAGGATTATGCCCATGAGACAAGTACGAAGCAAAGTGTCGTATTGATATACGTAGTGGCCGGACAACACGGCATGGCCGTAGAGCCGCGGACCTTCAACCTTGAACCTTGAGCCAAATATTAAGGCAATAAGCTCACTATTGAGGCTGCCTCACCGGTTAACGCCATAATCAGGTCCTCGCTCACCAAACCGAACTTCCTGGCGCACGAGAATGATGCACATGAGAAGGATGCACATGAGAAGGATGCACATGAGAAGGATGTACGTGAGAAGGATGCACATGAGAAGGATGTACGTGAGAAGGATGCACCTGAGAAGGATGCATATGAGAAGGATGCACATGAGAAGGGTGCACATCATGCGAACCATGTGGCTGAGAACGATATTGTGGCTGCTAACGATGTGGCGGAGTACATGACGTTTTTCGATACGGAGAGCGCGTTTCTCAAGCCGCCAGTGGGGAGCTCTTCGTACTTTCTGTTCTGGAAATATCCTGTATCAAAATTGTTGGCGTGACTACATGTCCTGTAGAGATCTATTTCTTCCTCGAATTCGACCTCTTCTCTTTGAGTGAATGAATCAACTGCAACTTGGAAAAATACTGATACAAGAAACGCGATGAGTCCGACTGTAACTGATAAAACGTTCTTCAGCACGATGATGAATTACGGGCAACGTGCGCCGCATGAAGATACCACTTTCAAGTTGGCCGCCTCTACTACCACGACACCCACCTCCCACGTCAACGCAGCAGAGGCCTCGTACTAATTTTCATGCTGTCCCACTACTAATTTGCCATACCGTACTAAGAAAGCTGTACTATAGCACCCAAAATCATCTTGCAAACAAATTCGAATTGAGTATACTGAACAACCAGCTCAATGCTGCAAACACGACTTCCTCACCCCTTCACTCAGCGTCGAGTCAGCATTCATGACTTTCGAGCCTACGAAAAGCAGCAGAGTTGGCTTCAATAAAACGAACGGAATTATCGCTCGGTATTTTTTAGCATCCTCTCCTTAATTTGCTCGTTACGGTAACTTGCACGAGCAATATCTATGCTCAGTCATCCCCATTCTTTATTTCGATACTTGAGAGAGTGAGTACAGGGAGAAAGATGGTTACGAAAATCTAAATCGCTTATTTGTTGAGATAAGTTTAAAAAAAAGAGAAAGATGTACATCAATGAAAACCGAAAATCCCCGTCAGCTCGGCGCCAGATGAAGTCGCTGCTGTGGAGGTCGCAGATGCAGGCAAGTGCTTGCCCTTGCTGGTCGCCGCAGTGAAGAAGAACGACTACGGGTCGACAGAGCAGTAAGTAAGCGTGCCTGGGCGTGAAGCTAGGAACTAGGAAAGACAAAAAATAAGTCATAGAGGAGAAGCATCTTCCAGCACTGGAAGAGCGGTTTTAGACAACATTTGAGGCAGATTCAGGATATTTGTATTTCTTTGTACCAAGTAGAAGTTGTAAGAGTTCTTGTGCATGCACTGGCATTAAGCGTGGCCGCAGGGGTTCACTCAGAAGACAAGAAAAAAAGAGACCTATCACTGAAAATTCGCAAAATTACTTTTATAGATGGACAACTAGACTAGTGCAGGGAGCTAGAAGTTACGTGTACGAACTGTAAGAACTCTAAGTATGTAGATACAAGTAGAAACAACTGGAAGGCATTTGACAGACTGACAAAAAACGATGTATATCTTCGATGATGTTCCTAACTACCTAGTATTATGTGAAGATAGAAGAATTATATGAAGATAGTTGTGCATATGGAATTTCCTAAAGGTGGAGCTCAAACTTCAGAGTCTTAACTTGTCATCACCTCTGGAAGACGAAGATTATGGCTCTGTCTCTGCCAACGGAGGAGAACTATCCTATGCTCGATTATGGCTCTGTCAACTGAGGTAGCGATAGAGACTATAATGAGAGGAGACGAGTCGTTTCTGAGTCCTTGGCCACTTCCTGAAGGGGCCGAACACGTTAGACGGCTTACGGAATAACCTTGTTTATTGGGATTCACGATGACAAGATCACGCGTACTTAGTTCCGCATTCATAGCATATCTGAAAATCACTATCAAAATGCAACAAAGGAAAGAAGAAATATAGGACAGTCTTGTAACTAATTAGAGATGCTACAATCTTCATGATTGGGTACATCAATCAAATCAGCGGGCATTTTCAAAATGAGAATCCTAATGAAATTAGGTCGCAAACCTTGTACATCGGAAATTCGTGTATTGCGTTTCGATTAAATGCATCTTTATGAGGCGATAGTTTCTGCCATCGCAATTGTACAGAGACTCGCACAGGATTTCGCTCCGTAGAAGTATACATATTTATAGAAACATGCGTGTATGCATAGAAGCACGCGTGTAGGATAGTTGTTCTTGTTCGTTCAGGGAAATATTAGGCACCTCGCCGAAACCGAAAAGATTGCAATTGATTATTATGTGTATGTTGTCGGTTCACGATTTAAATAGGATCAAAATCTATGATATAGGTATAACATGATGTACACAAGAGCCATCAGCCTGCAATTACGTCACCGATTACGTACAGGCACAACATGTCCTACGCCCCTTCATAGTCGTGAACGCTCAGCTCCTCCAGGCGAGCAAATTCCCATCCCACCACACAGAACAACAGTGCGGGGCTGTGCTTTTGCAAACGTGAAATACAGCAACAAATGAACAGGTGATGCACAGGATATGTAGTGAACAGCACATCATATACATATTGCGGGTAGAAGATATCGTAGAAGAAAGAGACGCCAATAAGCTTCTAGTAGTGCTAATTATGCCAGCGAGATGCCCTGGCTTGACATACAGAACGGGAATCCAGGCGAAGTCTTCGCGTCGCATTATGCTTGAAGATAGTGACGGATTTGATCTGAAAAAGAGGGGAAGTTGATGGAAGACCTCGAAGTAGATAGCTGATGGCGGGCTGGATATGTCGTAACGTATTTGAGAAAGAGCGAGCGCGAGGGGCGCGCGTCGATATTAGGCTTACCGCGTTCCCGTTCCCTTTTGGTTTTCAGGTACTGCGCCGCGGAGTATCTTAAGACTTGCGTCCCGGCATGTCTTTCGATCGGAGTGCTTGCGGGGTGTGTGGTGTTTGATCCCTCACACCTGGGTCCGCCTTAGTGCATAAACTTGGGCCCGGCGCATTCTCCTCGCGTGTGGTCTTGTCTTCCGATCCATCTAAAAGCTTAAACGCAATCTGGGGAAAAGCGTGGTGGCCCAACGGCTCGCGCAGGTTTTTGGATTCTCGCTAGATGATCGTGATGAAGCGAAGAAGAAGGTAGGACAGTCAGGCCAGATCAAATATTTGCAGCGAAGCACAATCAATGGTGCCCGGCGAGTCTTATAGGCGCAAAGGGTTTGTTGTTTCTTTCTGTCTCTGTTGTTGTTGTGTCTCTCTCCCTCTGTTGTTTTTGTTGTTGTTGTTCGTTGTTGTTGTGTCTCCCTGCCTCTGTTGTTGTTGTTCGTTGTTCGTTGTGTCTCTCTGATTCTGTTTTTGCTATTGTTGCTGTTGTTGTTGTGCAGTCTTTCTCTTCTTGCCTCTGTTGTTGTGGTTGTTTTTGTTGTGGGTGCTTTTTTGCTCCGGTTGCTGTTGTTGTTGTTGTTGTGGGTGCCTTTCTGCCTCTGCTGTTGTTGTTGTTGTGGCTGTGTCCCCCGCCCCTGTTGTTGTTGTTGTTGTTGTCGTTGTTGTGTCTCTCTGCCTCTGTTGTTGTTGTTGCTGTCCTCGTTGTTTTTGGTTTGCGGTGCTTTGGTTTTTTGGTGTGCTTTGCTGCTGGTGTGCTTTGTTTTTTTGGTGTGCTGTGCTCTGTTTTTTTTCGCGTGCTGTGCTCTGTTTTTTTCGCGTGCTATGCTTTTGGGCTTTTTCGTGCTGTTTTCTTCGTGTGCTGCGGTTTCTATCTTTGGCCTGAAAAGTTCAGTTTATATATATATGCACATGATCGCCCCCTACAGTCACATGTTTTTGAATCATACCATTTCATAAACCTCTACAAATTTTCACTGAGCTATAGATTTAGATATAACATGATGTACACTGCAATTATGTCACCGACTACGTACAGGCACAACATGTATCACGTACTAGATGAACAGAACAACAATGCGGGGCTGTGCTTTTGCATGCGTGAAATACAGCAACAGATGAACAGTAGATGAACAGGATATGTAGTGAATAGCACATCATATGCATATTGTGGGTAAAAGATATCGTAGAAGAAAGAGACGCCAGCAGGCGTCTAGTCGTACTACTTATGCTGCCTAGGTGGGACGAGTAACAATAAACGACGTCGAACAATAAGGGGCGAGCTGTGTCTACCCAGTGTTGCTTTCTCTGCGCCCACCATGATGCTGATGCGTCGACAAAATCGAAAAGTTTGCAATTCTAGTTGTAGCGACGTGCCTACGATTGTTTGCCCTCACAAATAAACGACGTCCTCGAACAATGAAGGATGAGGTTCGCCTACACGGTGTTAAAGGAACACTACCTGAAAAATTGGCAATTGTACAACCAACCACAGAGAAGAAAGGAAGAGAGACTGTCACTGTGGAGTAAAAAGAAGAATCCATTTTGATATGAGGAGTGATGATGAAGCAAAAAGGCAGCAGTCTAGTAGAGTGAACAGAAAAGCGGCAGCCTAGGGGGTCAAGGCTCATCCACTTCGGGAGGTTAAGAAGTAGACGAAACGTCTGCGTTGCTTCCATATTGAAAGCCATCTCTATAGGATCTGTGCTGCTTCGGTTGACGTTGAAGACACCACAGTCAGGATTATCTGTACGCCGTCATCTCATCTGTACCTGAATGTTCTCAAAGAATCTACTAACGGAAGCAGATGACATCTCACGACCCTCCTGAAAAGTATGGAAACTTCGAAATGGTTAATGAGGCAGAAGTCGGAGAAAGTGGATATTATTTGCAAGCGAGCCTTCAACCTGTTTTGTTCGTGTTGTTATTTTCCGTCTGACAAAGAAGAAGGTAAGTACTCAATTAATAGAAGGCATGTAGATGTACTCCTTTATAGTAGACGTATGACACCTCTGAGCCACAATCACAAACAGTCAATTGAAACTGAGTCATCTTCTTTGCAGAATCCTGTAGTCCTACGGAATACTTGCCTGTGTGGTAATCCGCACGTGGAGGCAATAGCATGAAAATACCGAGTCACGCCCAGCAGGCCTAAGACTTGTCTCGACATCCGACTATCGATATCATCCGACCATCGATATCTGGCTATCGAAGATATCCGACTATCGATATCTGGCTATCGATACCCGACTTTCGTCCTCGTCAGGGTTTTCATTTATCTTGAATCTTCAAGACAAAGACATATACAGATCATGCTGTCCGAGGATAAGGCGACTCGCAAAGACCGAGAATTTCGAAATTTCCTTGTTGATTCTGGGTCTGCGGTATGTTGAGTGAATTTTTTCCCATCGCCTCTCCCACTCTCTCTTTTTTTTTTTGAAATAAAACTGCCAGGAAGTAGAAGATTATCTCCTGTCTAGAACGCCGAGATGGAAAAGCTGCTCATCTGGCTAGTAGATGAACAAATGAAAAGTGAGATAGACAAGCAATGAAGCCACAACCTCTAGTATAGGTAGAATCAGCATCATCATCCACCTGTCTCTAGGGGAAAATCATCATCCACCGGTGAAAAGAGTGAAGGTCCTGTCTCTCAATCATCATCATCATCTGTCCCTAGGGGAGAGGAATGAGAAAAACTTAGACATCCTTTCATACGCGGACAGTTTATTGAAACTGCTGTTGTCTCTACGGGAACACGAGGCCTACGGTGGAGATAAATTCCCACTCAAGCGAGAGGAGAAAACGCAGGTGCATCAAGTGATATGGCTTTGGTGTTTCTTCAGAAACAACTAAAATTATCTGTAAGTGACTGACTTTTTATATGAAAGTACTGACTTCGATGACATTAGCTAGCATTACAACACTAGTGAGTCTAGGTTGTAAGACCACTAGAGAGTCGTGCTGTAGTGTTTCGTATTCGTGCTTCCTGCTCTGTAAGTTGACCGAGATTTGATATTGATTTCTTATTCCTCTCCTGATTTTTTTTGTAGTCCTCTGGAACTTTTTTCATCGTGGTTACTCCTTCTAAGTAATTCTTTTGTAAAACCTAGTCCTTTTCTCTTTCTCTTACTCATTTTCGTATTGGACTTTTACGGTGTGCTACCCTTTTCTCTCTTTGTTTTCTTCTAATCCTCCTATTGGATTTCTACGATGCGGCACCAGACCCAGTGTGGGATGAGATACACGATTTACGTGGCAGCATCGGCAAACTTCGGAAAACATGTGAAGACTTAGAGTCACGTATTGATTAAGTTTTTCTTATAAGATGAACCTTACGTATTTCTATTCAACACCTTACGTAGCTCTTCTTGCTTACCTCTAACAGAGTAGTTTATAGCACGCATGGTGCATGGAGTGCATGGAGCGCAGAGCTTTAAGGGGCGCAAGAAGCTCCATGCGAGCTGTGAAACCTTATAAATTGCTCTGCTCTAAGTATAGGGTGAACATTACGTAGCTCTATCTTACATATTTCTTCTATTCAACATTGGATGGTTAACTTTATAAGAACTCTATCTTCTTTTATTTTTTGTGCCGATCATCAACATCATTATAGGAGGAGAGGAGCTCAACCACAATTTATTCATAGGCACAAAGCTTCTGCACTTCCTCTAGGTGTGTCAGCCACAGAAGCAAAGTCAGAGAAGTGGAAAGCGAAGGCCTACGCCACAAGAGCGTGGAAGAGGCTTTCTCAGGGAGCAGAGGGTGGAGTAGCATGTACAAAAATATTTTTTCACTTTGATCGTTCGTCTGTGGCATGATTTGCATTGCGCAAAAGAATATAATGATATCATGTTGATGACTGGCGCCTTGTCTGCTTCACATGCTTTTTTTCACACGTTTCAATTTCTTCGAACCACCAACAAATCCAACGAGGGAGAAATTGATTGTTTTTTCCAACATTGCTACAGGTAAGGACCTGCTGCAGCGCGTCTTTGGTGCGTACAAAAAAGTGCCGCATGCCTGTCTCGGTGAAGTGGAGAAAATGCCAGATATCGAAAAAAAAGGCTTCATCACTATCGCGTCAACAGACGAACGTCTCACGATTATGGCTCAATTTTGGTCACATTTTCCAGTGTTGTCTTTCAAGACATTGAATACGATTTTCTAGCTGGTGTACTAGAAGATGTGCCTCCTGCATTTCCTGAAGATGCACTTGTCATTTGAAGAGTGCATATTATGAAGATGCATAGCATTATTTCATGAAGATGCACATCTAGCTCATTTCATTCCTTTAGTTTCTGTTTTTCTAATTTCGATTTCATCGCTGACTGTATTCGAGACATGAAGCCGCCAGCACCTCCTCCTGACGAAGGCGAACCCCCAGAGCAGCCAGAGGAGATTGGGCCAGTTTATTCGGAGCCTGAGGATGACATCTATCTCATGGTAGCAGAGGTCTTTGGTGTACTTTCGACTGTGGGGTGAAGTTATCGGGAACTGTCGGTAGACAGTAGTTCGTTTCTTGGAAAATCAAAATATTACGCGTCTAGTTCTAGTCCGTAGCAACTTCTGAAGTTGTAAACAAAGATGTAATTTGAAACATAACGAAAATTACAGGGAGCAGCTCAGGAGACGACGCAACTGGACTCTATGAGGACAACTTCAGTTAAAATCATGATCGAGAGTTTCTACAACCTCGCAACCAAGTGTTGAGTGTTGTCGCTACTTAGGAGATGCACTGGTAGATGCTTCCAAAAACGAGATCTTGCTACTAGAGCGAGATCAATGCTCTAAGTCTGTCTTTCGAGAAGAGATAGCCATCGAGCGACACATCCCGTGCGTCTGTGGTATGCGTCTGTGATAGAGAACTTGTGTGGACGAGGACCGCTGAGTATTTTCTGGTCTGTTGAGCCGTACTGAAGTCTCTTGAGGGGGTATCGGGTCACTGGCGATCAGCAACCAGATTTCGTCTTGCGCGACATTGTTCCTTGTGATCCGCTCATCATTCTTCATTTTCTGCAGTGTCTGTCGTTCCTATCTTAACCGAGAAGATTCATCTATTAAATCTAAATCTTTTTCAAACGTTGACTCGATACAGGTTCGCTCCACTCACAATAATTAGAATGAGCATCAACAGGCGTCTTCGACTTTTTTGATTTCTCCCTAGTATACTAGAAGGTATTCTCCATTTTTTTCTGTCATTGTGTGAGTGTTGTTGGGGTCCATGACCTCTTTTATGCTCCCCGTTTGTTTTCTTCTCTGATTGAGACCACGAAGGAAGAAGTATCTTCTTCATGTTGATGACCACGCCATTACATGGTCACCATGACAACTATCGTGTACTTAATATCCGAGATTGATTGTGTTTGTGTCATGAGCCACATGATTATGCTCATCATGTAAGTAAGTCTAATGTGTGATTGCTATGATCATAAATGATGAGAAAAGGCTTCTGGTGCGATTCCTCAAGCCGAGTAACTTGTTAACTCCACGATTACGATGAATCTTCGTCTTCGTCCGGCTTCTTCAAGATGAACTGCTTATACTTTTCAAGACTGGCTGCAGCTGCAATATTAAATCTGAACTCGTCTCCTACTCCTGTACTCCACCCTGTCGTCTGAAGAAGTAGACCTCCCACGTGTCAACAAGTCGTTGTGTCAACGTCATCGAGAAGTAGACCTTCTATCTCTACGACAACAAATCTCCACTCGTCTATCCTCGTGTCAACGTCAAGTAAACCTTCTAGACAAGATGAGCAGCAAGATGTCTTCTAGCAAGCCTTCTTCCTTGCCGGACTGTGGTCCTGAGATTAAGCGGCAGGTGGAGATATTTCGTGATGAGCATAAGATCCGTGGCGAAATCTTTCGTGCCAGAGCATATATGAAAGTACTTTATGGCATGTTGAACTACAAAGAAAATCGGATGGAGAGAGATGACTGAGTGTGAATAAAGTCAAGGCTGCGAGACTCGATTCCTTGTACTGTAGATGTAATAATATGAAAGCTAAAATATAACCGGGTATTTCTATTTTTCCCTCATTTTCACCCTAGGTTAGTCCCTCCAATCAAGAAAGCTAATTTCAAGGCTGCGAGACTCGATTCCTCGTAGTTGCGACTGTATGTCATAGAGTAGACATGGATTTTTTTGAAAGGGATTTTTTTCGACTCTGACTCAGTCACGCTCTAATCCTTTTCGGGTCTGCAGCAACTGGAAGGGGAAGGCACGTCTATCCGAACCCCCGATGACTTGAAGAAGATAGCAGGATTGTCCCAGACGGGGAAAATCAAAGACAAGCTACTGCAGATCATGGAGAACGTGGGCAAAAAAGCGACAAATTATGCTGAGAAGAACATTACTAGATGAATATATAAGTACTTTGTTATTTGCGATGGACACGGACTAACATTAAGTATCCCTCAGTAATAAAAAGTAGTTAGATGACAAGTGGTATCCACCTCATAATTGTTGGTAGTATCTATAACCTAGTTGATGATGATGCAGAGGATCGGTGTCTAAAATGGAAATGCAGGAGGCGTGGTCGGAGGAAAAGAGTCTTTGAAAACAGTGAAGACAGCAATCAAAGCTGAAGAAGATGAGTTTGTGGCTGAACTGGATAGCCAATTGATGTCAGAAATCGCGATGGAACAAGCAGGGAGTATTAAGGGTAGTTTATCAATATCCCATGTGGACTATACTGAGTGAAGTCCCCCCTGATCTGAAGGGGAAAATAGAGGGGGAAATGGGCAACTCACTCGGCCAGGGATAGTGACAAACTACCTCTAAGAGTAAGAAAGGGAAAACTTCAGTTGGGATGATCGTGAACATGAAGAGCGAAAAAAACGTTGCAGCAGACAGCCTAACTTCCGCGACCCGCAAGCGCGCTGGTAGCGCATCCTCTACGAACATTAAGGCTTTGGCTTCTAAATTTCTATTTCAACAAGAATAACACTATGTAGTTCTTCTCGCACAACGACAACGTCACGACTTCATGAACAATAGGGTTATTAGTCTCTCTCAATCTATTTCAACAAGAATAATAGCACTATGTAGTATCTACAAAGTTTGAAAACCAAGCAGCACACAAAGCTCTAAGAAAAGTGCCGGCTCCAAAAGCAGTCTTGTCGCTGAGGAAGAGGAAGACTTGGATCTGCCCCAAGTAAAGAGGTATAAGGCCGACCCCGAATGTGCCTTATTACGGTCACTGCAGTCAGTCCACGGTCTAGGTCCCAAAAGGGCCTTGACGCTGATACGGCAGCACAACGTTCGCAGTCTAGCTGACGCAATAAAGATGGCACAGGAGCAAGCGGATGCGAGTTTATGAATGATCGTTGCGAGAGATTGGACGAATCCACTTGCGTCTACTTAGTTGAGAACATGATGGTGGCCAAATCCTATTGATTCTTCTTCTCCTGAAATCTTCATGTTTTTTAGAGTTCTCCCTCTCGTCCGTCTCTAAAAATTCCTCCCAAAGGAAAAGTGGCTACCACGACGAGTAAGGCTTTCGTCTTCACCCGAGCAGAAAGGATAGGTCTGCAGTACTGTGAGGAAATCGGAACCAAAATCCCCGTAAAAGAAACACGTAAGCACGTCGATTTAGTATATCAAACTGCTAAAAAAAACACAGTCACGAGGATGAAGATAGCGCTAGCGAATGCTGGCGTTGGTAGTGGTGGTGATATTTTATGGGAGGAGGGTTTGTTGTCATGATACTAGAGATATTCATTATTATTCAGTAGATCTCGGATTGATCAGATTTCCGAATAGAATGTTCTTACGCTTTTCCTTCTTTTAGTCTTGGCCAAACTTCAGCATGTGAAAAACTACAAAAATAAATATAGCACTTTAGAAGTACTAGGGCGGAAATATTGAATATGATTGGACTTCGCCTCATTCGATCCCACACCTACTTCTAGCTACTTCTCGTAGTTCGTTGTAGTTTTCTGTAGTTCGTAGTTTTTCTAATCTTGGATTTGAAAATCGAAGCTACCGGGTCCTTCCGTCGTGGCGCGCAGCAGAATGGGGACATCGATTTCATACTCAGCTTCAACAAGTCGTCCGCAAAGTGGTTTGCGTGCTTTTTACGTGCCTTGGAGGATGCTGGCTATCTGAAGGAGACACTTGCCTCCTCAGTGAGCTTCTCCGCAAGCACCGGAGCAGATCCGTTTAAAGAAGCAGCTGCAGCACAGAAAGGATATTCGAGTGAAAAGCAGGAGCATGACATCGTTCTGAAATGGATGGGTCTCTGCAAATTTCCGACTGGGACAGGGTTGCACAGACGTGTAGACTTCTTGTGCGTCTCAAGAGACGTTTACCCTTTTGCGCTATTGCACTTCACTGGCGACGCCCTGTTCAACATTGAGCTGAGAAGACGAGCGCTCGCGCAAGGCTACTCATTGTTAAGGCTTAGAATCAATCAATCAATCTCAAACACAAGCAATCACTGAATCTCAAACACAAGCAAGCAATCAATCCATCGCATGTGGACGGTGCGGCACCTGAGCACTCCGTCTTGGTGACCCGTAAACCTTCTAATCCCTTCCGAACACGGTATCAAAACCCAACTGAAAAAGCCGACGAGTCGCGGAAAGACAAGCGTGAGCAAAGACGCGGACTTTGTGGGGACTCCTCTACTGAAACCTGGCGATTCCGCAGTGCGCACAAAATTACGCGGGAAGGAGTACTTCGAGACTGAGGAGGACGTGTTGAACTTTTTTGGGGTGAAATACATACAACCGGAAAAGAGAAAGACAGGAGCATTGGAGAAACATCTCCAGAAAAAGTAGGTTTTTTTAGACACATTTTCATAAAGTACAGATGCATGTTGACCATGAGATACACTGAGAGGGGGTTATACATAATAAAATATATGATCAATCAGTAACCAACTTGGTCGCCAGCTGCGTGTTCTTCTTAATCCCCTTATTCACTGACTACAACACGTTCACTTGAAGTTGAAGGCCTTCTGTACTACGTACAGGACATAAAATGTATTTAACATCTTCTTTCATTGTACTACTATCGGCATTTGGCAGCTGCTTTGGAATTCGGGAGAGACGTATTCTCTGTCTTGTTGAAAAGGTTGAACACCCGACATGTTGAGACGATGCTTGGGCTACATCATTATAATAAGATAATTCGCGACGCCTTGCTGGAGGTATGCCTAATATGCTTGTTACGTTTGTCGGGTATCAGTGTTGGTTCCTATTTTTCTGACGAGTTGTCTGACATGGTTGAGCTGCTGTCTGATCCCTGAAGGTGCACGTGAGGACACATTCAATATTGACCATCAACGCTAAGGACCATAGAAGAAAGGAAACAAGAATAAACATGAACACCACCAATACTGTACTTAGAAATTTTGGAATCAACTAAGTACTTCTTAAGAATTTTGGATACAAATTCTGTACTTGAGAAATTGAAGAGCACAAAAACTGGAGAAAAATGGCCTCGCTCGCGCCTGGTCGGACGATGTTCCGCCGACATCTTTCCACCCTCGTTCTAGGGTCTTGCGGGTGTGTCTTCTTGCTCCGATACCAGTCCCATCAAAATAAACGACATGCGGTGTGTGTTATGGTAGGAACACGAAGAGGGAGTGTGACTCAGTCACAAGATTATATTCATATCAAGTAGGAAGAAGATGAAGATTCGAAAATTGCTTAGTTTGTCGTGAAACAAACTAGTGAGTTGCTACGTCGTCGGTTTCGATTTTGTGATGCGTTCAATTTTCATCATACTCCCATTATTTTTTTCCACATGATGATTGAAAGAAGGAAGCAGTCTTTTCCTTCTCTAAAATGCCTGGGCATGATGGTGGCACGACGACAAAGCTCGTGTCAATAGACGAATGGGAAAGGTTGAGGCAGTTTCGCAGAAATATCTCGTGCGCTGTATTTCCGAAGTCGAATGCGGACGGAGGTAAAGACAATGCAGACCGAGAAGTGTGGATCACTTCGCCGAGTCGGTTATTGGGGCTTGTCTTAAGGCAAGAAAGCATTGTACTTCAATTTCGATTTTACTTAGTAGGCTACTAGCACTAGCACTAGCCACTAGAATTTCGATTTATTTTCCCAACGAAATGGACTTTCTTCATCCTAGAGCACTAGCAATTCTTCAAAAAGTACTAGCACTAGTGGGAGAACGAAGGATGCATCCTCTTGCCTCTACAACATTGCTAGTGCACTAGTAGGAACGAGTCCGACTGCAGCTTCCTAAGACTCGTTTAAGTCCATCTCGTCTATTGGATGTTGTGCCTCTTTCAAAACGTTCACCTAAAAACTAGTACCTCTACGTCTACAGCAGTGCTGATCTCGCTAATATCCTTTGCAGGAGCGTTTGTTTACAGAGCCTCTGGGATTTTCACGCAGATAATGGAAGCACGCTGTCGGGATGCGGCTTATCAGATTCGACGACCTGAGTTTTTGCAGACAAAAATATTTGCGTTAAAAGCAGGACTTTTCGGCAACCTCCTTCTTCCTGTCGGCATGCTAGCTGGCTTCGTAACGGCTGTAGGAGTATCAGCTGCTGCTTTAGAAGCAGGAGAACGCATGTTCTTGGGATGTGGAATGGCGAGTAGAGCCAGTGATATTCAAGGGACGGCTTCTGCTACCAGCTGCACATCTAGCACTTTATCAGAGAGCTTAAACTCGTCTGTCGTAGTTACCGATGCGGTGACCGACCTCTCACGACAAGCCAAAGCACTCTGGAACGAACAAGCGTTTTGTGTGCGTGCCTCAGGTCGGGAGTCCTTTTTACAAGCGAGGGAACTACTCGCGCCAATATTTGAATCGTTAAACACTTCAAGCTTGTCCGAATTCAGTAGGCACATGCTCGCTGGGAGAGATGCCTTCTGATGATTTTTGATGTGATTACCACACATATTATAGCTGTAGACGAGGTTTCTTGAAGATCATGTTGTCAGACAGAAAACATGGTGAGCAAATCCGGAACATCTTCCACGAGTCATCCACCCTGGTGGCCCAGGGCGACGGAGTGCTGTGTTCCATTCGATGAAAATTCCCTGGAGCAAGATCATGACTCAGATGAATCATCGCGATGCGAATTGATCCTGATCCTGCACGCTCTTTGGTACACGACGGTGGCGCAAAGTGTGGGGGCTCTAGTCTCCGATCACAGGATGTCTGATTAGGCGTTCCGTTCGTCTATCCAAGGATGCTCGCGATGAAAGTTCACACAGCTGGAACAGCTCACTCATAAGTTCCTTCTTGTAAATAGCGTCGGCGCATCTGCAAAACGAGTAGGTACTAATTCAGTTTATCTTGTTCTTGACTAGAAGAACAACTACGACATGCACGGGCTCGTTGTACTAGTAACTTCATCCCTTTACTTGTTTTACCACTAGCACCAGGAGTCTCAAAAACGAACAACAAGATTCCATTGAACTCTGGCAGTGTCAACAACGAACAACAAGATGATCTACGCGCTGTACATCTTTTATCGTGGGCAAGTCTGCATTTACGAGCAAAGATTTTTTGCCAACGACAAAGATGGGGGCACCAGTAGAACGAATGCCAAGTTGATCTATGGTCTTCTTTCGACTATGAAGTCGTTATTAAGGGTTATTTCCTCATTACAACATCCTCCACTAGCATCCTTGGCCTCTTTTCCAATACAGGAAAGAAGTCAAGGATGTTTGCGGAGTGTATTAATTCTGTAGCCTCTAACGTTAGCTCAGCAAGTTTCTCTCAGCATTAAAGGACCTCCGCCTTCTGTTTCGCCAGGAAAGAACAACCTTGGGTCAACGACTACAGCGGCAGCAAGAACGTCTCCCGGAACACAGCCTTCTTCGGGAGGGGGTACGTCGGCTTCCAACAGCGGCACCAATTCTGCGCCTCCCAGTCGAGCAAGACGCGACGCGCAAAGTAGGAGTAAGCTGCAGGCCTTTAACTCCTTCACGACGGCGAGCTATAAGCTACACTGCCTGGAGATTCCGACGGGCTACTTTTTCGTTTGTACTATTAAGCACTACTTGTGTTTGTGTATAAATAGAAGATAGAACTATTACTGGTTGAAGGATTAGTCTTCGCCTCTATCCCTAGGCTTATCCCTTTAAACAAACTATTACTGGTAGAAACAATGAACATGTTGGCGAACAAGAAGCTCTTAGGCTCTTCCCCATACTCTTTGGTCTCGCATGTCCCACAGAGCTCTAATATTTCCCCACCAAACGCTCTGTGGGACATGCGAGACCACTTGAGGCACGTCTACCAGACGCTGTTCGTACCCTACGTACTCCGGCATCCATCCTACGATATCGGAGCACCGGTGGCTACACTCTGTCTCGACGAAGAAGAGAGGACAGAGGATGCACAAGGCGCGAAAAGGGGTCAAGAACGGACAGAACAGCTAATTGGAGGAACTAGACAAGGTGGAGGTCGTGGAGCTGGTGGAAGTGTTCCGGACTTAGCAGGAGGCGGGGGAATTGAGGTCTACTCTTACTCTACTGCAAATGGTGCACCAGGTGTGTCCAGTAAAAACTACTCAAGGGAGGTTTATACTGAAACAAGATTTGGTAGAGAAGTCTCAGCTTTTGTCGCTCGTTTGAATCGAAATAGCAATTATCCGCAACCGCAAATATGATGTTGATGGCAGCTCTATCATGTGCTGGCTTCATTTTTACTTCGTCTAAATCGCCTAAATATTTTTATTGAACAGCTGCTACAAGAATCTCTTTGACGTTTCTCTCCGAGAGACGACAGTAGTCCGTTCCTCGTGTTCGTCATACAGATACATACAAACACGCGATGAGCAGTTGCAAAGTCTTCATAAGTCTAATCAATCTTAATCTGTTAGGAATCGGTCTTTCTCTTCGAGTAAGCAGTTCGCTGGTCTCATAGTCCTGGGTCTGTCATTTGGAACTGGTTTCGGTACAGATCCATCGCTCTCGGTTGTTCGGTTAATTCCTTCAAGACCGATTAGTTCGTTTTCGCTGCATTTGCACGCGACCAGTAGTAATTGCAAAGTCTTCCCAAGCAATCGATCTTACGCATCGACCGAAGAAGAATCGGTCTGGCTCTTCGAGTCGGTATGCCATGATCGGTCTCAGCACAATGGACCCCTCCCCGTTTTTAACCTTGCCAAAAACTACACTTTCTTTGCTGTACTTTGTCTCAATCGCAAATAGCATGTAGTTCATCTAAGTGCTTCTTTGTTGAAATGAAACAAGATGATCACTGGTCCAATTTTTGCCTCAACCAACAAGCATAGCTAGTACGAACTACAATGAATACTACATGAATACTTGTTGAAAGGCACCGCCATGAACATTATTGGTCAGCAAAGAATTCCACGAACATTCCACGAACCCTAACCAAAGCAGAACTCCAGCAATGGTACAACTTGCGTCCGTGCTTGACGATTGGGGACCTGGTACCTCAAATAGTCAAGCAGGCTTCACCAGAGGTTGTGGATCCGCAGAAGTGATCAATCTAAGAAGACCACCCTGTGCAGCTGCACGATCGCGTTTGCGACATTCGACGATTTTCATGTCGTCATTTCCCGACTCATCTGCTCCATCTCCATCATCAACATCCACGTCTACGACGACGACCAAGCGAACATCCTTCCCCTCTTCCTCTTCCTCCTCTTCATCTTTTTCTGCAGGAACATCAAATAGAGGAAGAACCACTTCCTTCTACCTCGACTGTTCTTCTGACGGCGCGTTAGAGGTGATGCCGCATGGTTTGCGGGAGTTGTGTGAGCATATGATGGCGCAGTTTCATAAGAAGCGATGGTCATCTGGGTTCTTCGCCCCGTTCAAAATGGTCTTCGATCATTGGACTGATTTACTTCACCTGCAATGGAAATGGTACATGAAAACCGGATGGCCACTGAGCAGTCCGTTTTATTTATGAAGAAAGACGAACACGAAAACGAATCAATATACTTATGTATGAATATTACAGCATAATTTTTTTCGTAACCGTAAGATGGGTGATGGATACATCACCTATGGAATAAGATGTAAAAATTTGAACAATAAAGAAGTACTTCTAGATCATCATCATTTCATCATCGTCGGTCACCATACTAGCATGGAGCAAGTACCTGTTTCCCCTTTTTTTCCACTCACCTTCTAATACCCTACCACAACACTCAAACTGGTCAGTGGAGCAAATGCATCGCTTGGTCGTTGAGTATGTGTGGGAACGACAAAGTGAAGTCAAGTTGGATCCCAAAGTATCGCGAGAAAAAACGTTATCATTATCGTTTTTTTGAATTTTTGAGAAAAGCACGACGGGGAGCACTGCGATCCTGGGGCTTTCCACCTTGCGATGGGCAAGCCGGCCCTCCCTCCACGAGGTGCCGCAGCAGACGCTGCGCTCCTCCTCCCATTGACGCGGCCCTTCAGTCATGGCTGGGCATGATGGTACCGCTAAGCTCAGAGGCCGCGGCCTCCGCTTACGCACGCCCATGGGGCAGTAGCGTGGCCTGGCCCTGCAAACTTATCCGCAAAAGTAGCCCACCGTGGGCACCAAGCTCGGCGCACTCGGAAAGCAACCCCGATGGCAATCGTTGGGGTGATACATGGGGGCAAGCAATATGAAACGCCAAGCCGATCGAGGGGAAGCCGCGACGCCACTTCGCTCAATATCCAAGGAGGCGAGGAGCCGATCGAGAGCCGCAGACGCGCGAGCGGCTGAAGAGGTCAGTTGGAGGGGGTGTTCGAGGGGGGTCCTTGTTTTCAGGGGCCCCATTTGATAAGACTTTCGGCGCCCGACAGATAGGCGATAACGCTTCTGGCGCCCGACACTCTTCGCCGAAGCCCAAAAACACGCGCTAAATTTTCAGAACCTCGAGGGGCAAGCGGATGACAGGTGGGCGCCTTTTCTGCTTGCTCGTTATCGTTTTTTTGGCGAGTGTTTGGAGGGGTCGGTGGAGGGGGCGGCGGACCACCTCCGGCCCGGCTAGAGGACCAGAGCGGCCACAGCAGGAAGGGGGCGCCGAGTCGCTAGAGGTCGGAGAAGGTGGAGCGCCAGAGGTGGCGGAGCGGCCGCAAGCAGCAGGGCTGCGGGCCATCCCCTGACACTCGGGCCCCAGATTCGCGAGGGGACAGGGAAACAGGCTACACGCGTGCGCGTCTGCCATTGCTGGAAGCGCCTCCCGGAGAGCGCAGCACCACCCAGCAGCCAGAGCAGGACAGCAGCGCGCGCGGCGCCGCTGGTTTGTTGTCTGGGTCATGGGAAGCGCAGCCCACCCACAGACGCGGCAAGAGGAAGCGGCGAATTCTGGCGCCCCTCCATTCTTATGTCCACGCGCACAGCGTCCCACCAATGCCCGGAATTTGCTACCCCAATCTGAAAAAATCAAAAAAACGATAATGATAACACTTTTTCCTGCGATACAAAGCCATTCCGGAAGCATTTTTGTCGAGACGCGTGGATGGAGTGTAGTACGTTGGAGACACCGTGGAACTACTTTGGTTACCCCTCTATGCAGCAGTGGAACAGCGCGTGTGGAACTGGGCCAATGATCGTATCGCCGTTTCTGAGCGACGTGCCGGTTACACAATTAGGAAGTTGCTCAGGTGAGTTTCTCTTATTGATTCACCATTGATTTTATTTTCTTCAAACCAGTCTGGCAAGAAGCCTTTTTTTAACCAGATTTTTGATAGATCTCAAACCTTTTAACCAGATTGATAGATCTTCAAGAAGAAGACTTTCTTATATGCTATCTTCCATCACAAAGATCATACCGACAACTAGGTGGACAATGATTGACGTGTTGATCCCTAAGAACTCCTACTTGTCAACAGCAACAACGAACAACCCCAAGGTGTTTCCGACATATGCTTAGCGCCGCAGCACAACGGAAGTGGGGTAGAGACGCACTATGTGAAGTCTGCGGCACGGACTGTCGGGATGAGTCAGTCTCAGATGGAGGCGTGGACGAACTTGCAAGAGTTTACATGCAAAGATATCGGCGTCAAGAGCCTTAATCGGGAAGTTCTCGAGATGGTTGAGAAAAATCCAGAAACACAAATCACACCAGCCAAGCTAAAATTTTTGTGGCGAGATAAAGTCGTATTTTTTTGAGTAGACGAGCGAGGACAAATATACATAACAAGGACGTCCTTGTCGAAAGGGCAGTCAACATCCTTAGAGAGTAGACCACGGGACACCGACGTCTGCTAAGACCTCTGCGAGCAGCACGTGGACTCATCTGCCATGGCTGTTCGTTCCCGTCAAAAAGGTTGATAAGGATCGGCCTTTTTGCTCGTTATTCGGTTCGTTCGGAGGACCAGCTATTGGTTTATTGAAATAAAGTACTCGTGCTGGTCATCGTGCCTGCTCTCGAGCACCAGACTGTAGTGTTGATTGCAAAGAAGAGATACCTTTGCTAGACCTGTTCTACTTCTACTTTCCTGGTTCTCGCTGCGACATCAATTGGATTCAGATTAGAAGTTTAGGTATGCAACTCCATAAGTAGGATAGTAGACCTACAAATTTCACTCCTTAGATCCCCATCTCCAATCAAAGAACAACAACCCCTTGAATCATCAAGAATGGCTTCTTCTCCCACTGCCCCCGCTGGCGGGCCTGGGCCTTCGCCGGTCCTCAGTACGGTCCTGAGGCCTGGTGAAACCCCTCTAGAAGCAGCTTCGAGAGGCGAAGAGGCGCTAGCGGAAGCCTACAGCAAAATGGTCCACACCCTGGAGACGGAGAAGCAGAAGGCGCATCAAGCGTGGGTTCTAGTAGAAGAACGATATACGAAAATGGAAGAGTGGTGCGAAATTTTGAAGGGGCAGACGGAAGATTATGGACAGTGGTCTTTTTAGATTTATCAATAAGTGATTTTTGGAGAAGACGCACGGTGGAATTCATTTTTTTGTACCTCCCTGAAGCATGTCATTTGTTTATTTACCACTCATGAGACTCATGGTAGAGATTCTACTGGTTGCTAAAGTCGGGCTAGTAAATTAGGATGATTGATGGTGAATGCTCCATGAAGATTTCAGGTTCAACATCCGCATACTATTTTTGAAGTAGATACCCACCCTTTAAGAAAAATGGTGCGCAGCTGAGCGTGCGAAGATTGCAGATGCATGGAAAGAAATAGAGGATACGCGACACAGACTCCACGTTCTCACGCCCACAGAGGATAAAATCCTAAAGATAAATTGCAGTGGAGAAAAGTTCCAAATCAAGAAAGGTAATGTTGAAAGTTTTTCTCGTCATTTTTCCTGGAATGTAAATGCGATGCTGCAGTTGCGGTTGGTTCTTCTAAAGTAGATTTTGTTATATCATACAATACCAATTGCAATTCCTTCGCGTCACTGCTTTTACTTATCCAATCAACAAGGTGCCCTCGCATGTGTCCCAGATTGTCATTTGAATGCGATGTTCGGAGAGGAAAGCACACTCGAAAAGGACGATCTCGGACGCTTCTACCTGGATTTCAATCCTGTTTGCTTTGCCCTCATACTCGACTTCATCAAGAACAAGGCGCTGGCAGAGAAAAGTATCATCTAGACTTCTGCTCGTTCCCAGTGTTACAAAAGAGATTCTCAGGGTAGTGTCACTGTCACAGTTCAACCTATGTCGTTCTGCAAGCCTATCCCTGTCCCTACACTACAGGTGGGTATCTCCTATAATCTCCTGTCTTTGAACAAGTCTTCCAACATGCTGATGTAACTAATTAACTTACACCCCGTGAGTGGGTACATCTATCTATCTATCTATCTATCTATCCCACCCACCTCCCAGATGCATCTCCGCCTCTGCCTCTAATTCCGAAGGAACACAAAGGAAACATGGATGTGCTCTGCGAGGCTTTGAAATTCCACTATTTCTTGCCCCCGAATGAGATGCTTCTGAAACATGGAACTTCGTTGATAGTTTCCTTATGGCACGATATGTTCTGAGGTGCACAAAGGATCAGTGCAGCTTGGTGTGTTTTTCTTCCTCCTGATGACACTTTCCAACCTGTTTAGTCTCGTGAGTACCACAACTTGCCCACCCACATGCCTGCTTCTAACCAAGTCCACAGTCGTTGAGTCGAGCGTTGATGGGTGGCAGTTTATCTCTGGCCAATATCCGCTACGATCGACGCAGCGTTCGTATTTCGAGGTCAAGGTAGAACGCAACGCGGATACTAAAGGTGGTTTGGCGATTGGAGTGTGTGGAAAGCAACCTAGCGGCAATGATATCCACCATTTGAAACAGAGACTAGGTAATTATAGTAGTTTTAGATCATCGTGTTGGTAGTTTCTCGAAATGGACTTGTTAGGAAATGATTTCGAGAGTATCTATTTAATTCTAATAGATACATAGCCATAGCTGCACTCTCAAGCTCAACGCTACGGTCATCAAAGGTATCGTCTACAATAGTTCCAACGGAATTATTGACACGGAGGCGACCGCAGTAACAGACGGCATGAAGCAGGTGATGTTTAAAGAGGGGTGCGTCGTTGGCGTCGAATATGATCCGCAGAAAAACACAGTTTCCTGGTTCTTCAATACGCATTATGGCTCCTGTGGTAAGGTAAATGAATGAATGGCTCATCTGGATGTTCACTTTTATAGATTTGAGTAGAACGAGTTCTCTCCATCACTATCACTATCTTTTTTCGTGTACGAGATACAGATGGCATCAATTATATCAACATTTCTACTCCCCAAAGTCAGTACTAGGACTGGACTAGTTACGACTAGATTATCTCGATCTACTCGCCTGCTCTAACCTGAGTTGATCGGCACCTGTGGCGTGAACCATGCGATCATGCACGAGTTTGGCGTGGTATATCCGGTTTTCGGATTATACGCTAAAGGCCAGAAAATTCGAGTGGATTTCCAAGCACTACCACCACCAAAGATTTCGGCTCATTAGAGGTGGTGGAGCAGTTGTTGTGGAGCGGGTCCTCATGCGGACAACGTTTGGAGGGGTAGGGGGGATGCTGCAAAACAAAAGATTTGAAGAGTTGCAATTTCAATGATGAGCATCAGACATCAGAAAAGTAGTACGAAAACGAAATTAACATGATTGAAGATAGACGCTAGTAGCGAGTCTAGTAAAGGTAGAAGATATGCATATTTGAAATATCCAGTTGCATGTAAAACATGCAACTGGATATATATTATGCTGAAATTTATTGGAAATTCTAGTATTGGAACAAATTCATTCAGTGTTAATTATATATACCGATTTGTACAAAGTTTTGTGCTCATCCAAGTAAAAAAAATAGAAGTTTGCATACAGATAAACATCAAAGTCATCAAAGAAACAAACTATTCCGTTCGAAGAACATAGAAGCGTAAAAGTACGATAGGTGCATAAGCACAGAAAAGATGATAAAAGCTCAAAAACAAAATTCCTTTTTAAAACCTCCAGTGTACGATTTTCTTTGGGTCTGTCGTATGGATTCAGGATAGCGTTGCGCAGATGAGATTACTTATTTCCAAGTGCAACCAGCATTGCCTGCATCAAGGAATACAGCCGCGAGGCACTCGTTTATTAACTCCCTTCAAGACAGCCGTGGCCGTCGCGCGAAGGAGCTGTTATGTTGTTCGTGGAAATTCCATGTTGTCGATGTATCCCACCATCGGTAATTGTCTCGAAAGAGGTCTAAGTAGCGTAAGCCAGAAGAAGTACAAGGAAGATCCCGGCTGTCGGAGAGGATTGAGATGCAGCCAAACTTTTGAAGGTCTAGAGATTCGAAGGAGCGCTAGAGCTGTAGTAACCATACATAGAAGCAGATATGATAAATCAATTCGATAAATCAATTCATGCGCATCGACAAAAACGTAATTCCACAGGGTGAGGATCGTTTTAGTTTGATGTTTGCAAAAGCCAAATTCCATCAGTATGTCGTTGTACGTATTATTTTGATCCTTTTCCATTTCCTTCATCATTTGGGTCTTTTTAGTTTACGACGACAACGTGAGCGAGTACATTTTTACTTCGGCCCCGCCAGCGCCGAATGTCTTCTTTCCTGCTCCTTGTGGTTTGGACTCATCAATTGGTTGTTGCGTTGAAACAACACTTCTTAAGATTCTATAGTTGAAGTATTGAATTTGATGAAAATAGCTAAGTTGTTTGAATAGATCTTTGTCTTTCTTGAATTTCAGAGATACTCGTAGATGACGTCCGTGTGAAAAAACGGACAATTTGTGAAGAATGACACTGCAGCAGTGCAAGCATTTTTTAATGTAGATAGTAAACGTACTAGATTACATTACCAGTTGCCGTAGTAGGACTAGTAGTTGTGTCAGTCGTTGATGGCCACGCGCAGTCGCCAATTTTTTTATGAGACATTTCGACTTACGAATAAAATAAATACTTAAAAGTTAAAGTAGTTCTTAGTAGTACTACTACTACAGGAGAAGTACTACCTGCTTGTTCACAACCCGCCCTCTGTCCGGACTGTTTCATTCTCTTTCCTACTTCCATCCACTACCAAATATCTTGCTATTCTCTTCTGGGTGCTGATGGACTTCAGTACTACAAGTGTGGATGTTGAGACAAGATCTGCACTCCGCCAGCAAGGGCTTTCATGTGGGGCGCAATGTCACAACAACGCTTAGAGGAAGTTGCATCCCAACGACATCCTAGTCCTAGTGACGAGCACGAACAGAAATCTCATCCTGGTGACGAGTCTTTGCCCTTGCTATCTTCATTTGAAGAGAAGAAAGGGAACGAAAGTAATATTCACAGACCATCTAGATCTAAACGATCATATGTACTCGACAAAGTCGTCGAACAAAACGATCAGCCGCATCTTGTCGCAGAAGATGTTCCAGTGGTTACGACTAGTCAAGAACGAAATCTTCTTCAAGTACTAGGACAGGAACTTCAAGAAGATACAACGAGTAGGAGCAACAGACTTGTTGAAGAAGAAGCGCTCCTCGAAGAAGAAGACGAAGCCTGCTTAAGTAGTTACAACAAAGAGGACGGACTCGAAGCCCTCCTTGCTACTGACAACAGAACTCCCATATCCATTACCACATCAACGGCGGCGGATTCGTCGGCAAGGGCGTCAACTTACGGCACACTTTCTATGGCAACGCAGAAGCTAGCTGAGCCCATTGGCCGCTCCGAGCTCCTCCCGTCTGACTTAGCAGCTTTAGAGTGCGGTCGAATAGCCCTCGAAGAGGTGGAAAAGATAAAGAACGTAAAGGAGATCAGCTTAAGCCGTAGCATTTCCTCCACAAGCTCAGCCACAAGGCTGCACCAGTCGCCGGTCGAACAAGTAGGAGCGGCCACTCCTTCGAAAAAGTTCGGGAAAAGCAAAATGCTGTATCATCGGCTGAAGGCATCTGAGCAGGGCATGGATGGCGTGGGAGAGGGCGCCCTAGCAGGCTCCTTATGGCTATTCTGAAGTTCTGATCTGAAGATCATGAACATCGTGGTTGTACATGCGGACTATTTTTACTACGTCGGAGAGAGATATATTACTAGGACGCCACTGTCATTGAAGCGTTTCTGAGGTTCAGGTTCTGTGGATCGCTCATTTCCTTCTAACTCCTACGTCTCTGTCCAGTCCGCACCTTCCAGCCTCCACACATGCGGAGTTCATGGCGGGGGTGCCAGCCCAAACATCGCCGGTGCGGCAGCGATCTACTTCGTCAATATTTTCCAGTGCTAGTGGTATCCTGGACTACGCATTTACAGCGTTAAAACATCCAGCAAAGGCTGTGGCGGATGATCCTATGTTAGATGAAGACGAGGATGGGCATAGTAATATGAGCGCTGCTGCGCGTGGAGCAGTACCACATGGTCGTGCGACGTCTGGTAGTAGGAGCCATTCTAATACTACTAGAGGACAACCACAAGGCGGAGATGTCGTGGTCCCTGGTGAAGGCGATACGAGAGGGGAGGTAGCGGCGAAGTCTTCATCCACTTTTAGGAGCAGCCATAGCGAATAGATTAAGTAGAGTTTTGAATCTTGATGGATTTTTGAGATCCCCTCTCTTCCCCCACTATTTCATTATGAAAATAAGAAACTCTTGATCAGATCTGGTTCTGGGTAGTCTACGGGAATCATCAGAAGATGCATGTCGGAAGTGATGAATCTGGCTCGTCGCTCTGAAGATGATGATCGCTCTAAAAAAGCCACCGGCATACAAGCAAATATTGGATCCGCTGCTTCGCGACAAAAAAACTTCGTCGTCAACAGCGCGCCTGTGATCGTGGCTCTAGTGAGCGTGCTGATCTTTTCGTTGAATAGCCAGCTCCTGCAAGCACTGGGTAAAACGAAGATAGCCTCAAAGCTGTGTAACCTGTGCTTTGCGCATATGGGTGGTTTACTGTTCTTTCCGTGGACAGCGTGGGGCATGGCACTACGCAGGAGAACAAAAAAACGACCATCACCGGACCGTGCAGCTTTTCAAAACTTGAATAGCACTCCTGAACATAAGCGAATTTCAGCTTCTGCCGATCATGTTTCTTCTTCAGAAACGCGGAATAAGCACCGTACTAATATTCTCCATGAAGAGGATGTTCTCCATGAAGAGGATGCGTGCGAGGATAACCGAGGCCCCTCGTCCTCCTCTACCATTTCTCACTTTCCGCCATTATACCAGTGGCCATTTTGGCAGAAAGTTACGTTTTTTTCCTTGCTGCTCATGTTGTACAACTGGCTGTGGCTCTCCGCCGCCGATCTAGTACCTATAGCGACGGTGACGGCACTTTTTCAGGTACTTCTTGCTTGAAAAATTACATGTTGTGGTCACAATGTCAATTTTCCTGAGATGAAATCTACTTCAAATATCTTCTGATTCAACAGGCCAACATCCTAGCCTTCTGTGGAGTATACTTTCTGAGAATTTTTCCACCTCATTCAACAGGCCAACATAGCTTTTTGCGGCGTATACGAAACGTTACGAGGTCAGAGCTGTAGCGCCTATAAGTTTTGGGGAACTGTGGCTTGCCTTTTTGGCGCCGCTTTAGTAGCGGTATACGGCAAGGAGGAGGACGGACCACGACCGTCGCCAAGTCACGACTCGTCTTTGTCTTAGGGCTTTGTACTTATTATAAGCTTTTCTATCTTCCTCTGGTCTTTCTTTTTTCTAGTTAGGTCGGCTCCGCCACAATTATGAGTACTCACTCGTAGTAACAGTAAGCACTCTGAAACTTCTTTTCTCTATACATTTGCATTTAGCTTTTAGTATTAGTCCGAACACGTATATTTGAGTTCGCCCAAGAATAATTACGACCAAAGAAGCGGGAATGAATTACTCATGCCCGAAGCTGTCACTTTAATTTTCGACGGGTAGTGCACTAGACGGAGTGGTTCCTGCAGCCGCAACCAGCTTATCCCCAAGTAGTAGCAGCACAGAAGGCCAAGGCATAGTACTAGCCGCTGCTTCTAGTGGTACAGGAGCAGGAACGCTAGATGGGTCGGGAGAGACGTCAAATAGTCAGACAACCTCAGGTGGTGCTGCAATAGTTGGAAGCCTTTTCGCATTGGCGGCTTCTCTCTTTTCTGCCGTGTACCAATGCGTTTTGAGTGAAATGGTGGGACCGGAAAGGGTGCTCTTCCATTATTGAAAGCAGTTTTTTTTGGGTGCCCGATTGATACTTAGATCCTCGTGACCTTAACTCCTCTTCTAATCCATGACTATCTATCGTCAGGCATCCAACCCCGTCGGATTCTGCGTCAATTTCGGCTTTGCTATATCCTTTTGCCACTTAGTGGTCGTCTTCCCGGGAGTTCTATTTGCCAGCGCAATAGGATTCGAACATGTGGAGTTTCCGCATCATCTGATATTAAGGCGATGATCATGTTCCTGTTTTAGCGTACTCTGCATAAAAGTGGTTTTCCTTGTTTTATTGTATTCGTTCTGCAGCATTCCCACCACGACCATGATTGTCCTAATAATTTGCCCTGGAAGTATTCGAAAAAGGAAAACTGAGAATAACCGAGTTACAACTGACTGAAATGAGGGAGGTAGCTTAACGCCAAGGCTACTCTTCCTTCTCATGAGTATCTCGGTTATTCTGATCAGTTACTTGCTTATTTCAGTTTTTCGAATACTAGGCGGAAATAAATTTTTACGTACTACTAGAGGAGCTCGCTCATCTAATCCCTCCCGGTGGCGTAGCCTTCGTTAGCAGTTGCCTTCTTGCTTTCCTCGTGAATGTTTGTTGGTTTTACGTGCTCTATGCTGGTGAGGATCCTTCGCTTCTGTCAACTGTCGTTGCTCTTGGGATACCTCTGTCCCTCTTGCTCGATATGTTGTTTCACTTATGGCTGCTCATTCAAGATCGATCTTCGTTCAAGCTGGTATAGTCTAGGTCTACTTCCGACTACCATTAATTATGTTGTACCTTTGTGACAAGCCAACGATCATGCGTGGTAGTCATTCGGCGTATCATTGTCATGTCGGTCTCCCATTTCGTCTCTACTGCACCTTAGTACCCTTAGAAGCTCTAACTGCCCTACTGCACCTTAGTACTCTTAGAAGCTCTAACTCCCCTACTGCACCGTAGTACCCTTAGAAGCTCCAACTCCCCTACTGCACCATAGTACCCTTAGAAGCTCTAACTCCCCAAACGTTTCCGAGTGCTGGTCAGTGCGTTGGTCATCTGTGCGTTTTGCTGAGCTTTGTGCTTTTCTATTGGCACAAAAAACGGGCGCAAATGACGACTCCAACTTCGATCAAGCCAGGATCAAGCAATCGAGGTCACCAGGATCAGGTGGGAGAAGAGGTAGGCGTAGGGAATGGAGGCTCTACAGCTGTGTGATGAAGCGTCATCGCAATTCAATAGATACTAGAAGCAGGATACATCAATGGAAGTGCAACTAGCAACTAGGTGGTACATCATGGTATATTAGAAAAGTTTCGCACATCAAGACAGAGATGATCTCACCAGCAGATCATGAATTGACACAAGAACTGGGAACACCAAAAAGCGTCGTAGCGAGCAGGTACGAAGATCAAGCCAATCACGAGATAAAGGCGAGATTGCACTTTTGTACAACATATCTCTCGACAACTTCGAGTTCGATTCTTCTACTGGGAAGTACGTCACCTGTACTACTAGATTGGCATCTGTAACAAGTTGAGAAGTAAAAAGTACTTCAAATTGTTGTATTCTATGCAGCGCCGTACAGGAAGAGGGTTCGTTTTTGCTCCGCTTCTGTAATTATTTCTGTTTTTCTTGTCCTCGTCCATCCTGAGCCAGTACTTGAAGTAATTTCTACGCACGAAGTGTGCCTGGACATCAATCAGATACTAGAAGTCCTCAGTGTGTAGGACTAGAAAGTACTGGTCGCTGATAGTCATGTGAGATATGTCTAACACTAGTAAACTCGCAAGAGCATCACAGCTTGAACATACGTGTGATAGCTTTGGTGTGCTCCCTTCGCATCGAGCTACTTTAAGATTAAAGAACAGTTGCAAAGTCGGCTGAGACACATGAACGGAGATCATGGATGTACTACAACAGGTACTTACACGTCCTAGTACTGACGTCGCGCATGATGAGCATTTGATCAATGGGATGCATGTCCTAAATGATTCTCCATCTCCGTTGGCTGAAGATGGAGGGTGACCTGAAAATATGATGTTCTAGAAATATCGTTTAGAACACAAGGAGAAGTGCATGCAACTTATTAAGTCCGACCTTAACCTCGTGCTAGGTAAATGAATGAGTGAGTCGTTTGTGCTTCATCGTTTGCGTAGTCGTAGCGCCTGGCCGTTGTGCTTCAGGCTTCCCGCGGGGTACTTAATTGAATGGAACTATAGCGGGAAATTGTAGACGCAGGCCCCCCCAAAAAAAAACGAATGAATGAGTGAATGAATGAATGAATGAATGCGTGTACGGCTCCGGCCCACGCGAATGAATGCGTGTACGAATGAACGCAGCGTGGGCAACGTCGTTCCCTCATATCGTTTACGGACGCAGAGGTGCGGCAGTAGCAGCTGCGGGGAGGTCGCTGGTTATCATGTTGTTTTTATCCTTCTGGTCGTGTGGAGCATCATGATGACGAGCAACATCTTGAAAAAGCAATTTCACGGGAGCAAAGAGAGGCCGTGCAGAAAAAGGATTCGAATGATTATGATGTAGAACTGTTCCTGAAGAATGCGAATAAAGTTTTCGAAAATTATATTGCTAATCTGATGCCAAGCGTTCACGCTTTGCTCAGGGAAGGACAAAAGTTTGACCAGAACTACATCATGAAGGCCCTTATATATAAAGCGTTACAAGAATGGCGGAAAACTGCCAGGGAGGTAAAAACCAACAAAAAAAAGGGGAACGAGGAAGAAGACAATTTGCCTGTCGTGGAGTTTCGACAATTCCAAGGATTGTGACGCTTTGTTTCTAATAAAACACAAAAAGCCTACGAAGAGGCACCGGAACGCTGAAACATGCCATACGCTGAACTCGCGTCAGCGCAACGTGATTTTTGGAATTTATGACGCGCAACGTAACTGGAACGGCAAGGAAGCACTCGCATAGGATGAACAAGGACGATATCCAATCAATACTTGCATAGCATCGAGAAGAACGATAACGATATCCAAAAAGAAGACGAAGATAAGCCTTTAAAAATGTTGCCGTTTTATTTTTTCATGATCGACACGGACATCACAGGAATGTCATTCAGAGAAGTAATGAAAGATAATGAAACTAAGTCATCAATCTCTGACAGAAATAATCTTTTTTTCCGTCTAGGGTGGCCCGAAATACATTTTTTTTCAAGATTATGCGAGTTTTTAGGCACGAGAGGGCGAGGGGCCGGAAATCTTGATCATGTGCGTGAACCTCCTATTTTAACATTCTACTAAAGTCGTAGCATCATGATTGTTCAGGTATTAATCATCATGGATCATGATTTCGTTCTTCATTGTCTTCCAAAACACAGCATCAAGAATACAACATTACAACAGAGAGGAGCTGCAAAGTCAGGCGAGACAGAACAAGAAAAATTACAAGGGATGTACAGCAAGGAAATGAGATGTACAACAAGGATACAAGATGCATTTTTGGCGCATTTGACACACTGACTCATGTGGGACAATTAAATGATCATCCATCTTCTGGCCTACTGACCCAACGTTGACTGATCGATGAACATAAGAGAACGTTGTTCTAGGCTTATGATCATGATGGCGTGAAGCGATCGAATTACTCAACATCACAAAGATGCAAGGGATCCATGCACCATAAGGACGTCAATAAAGATCAACTGCAAGAACATGAAGAAAATGCAGGCTTCCCAACCTACAGGTCGGATCTACCAACTAAGAAAAAGGAGGTTTTTTCCTTTAAATGAGTCCGAATGAAAATGATGAATGCAGCTCGCAGAAGTAGGTAAGCAAGATGATCACACAAGAATGAGAACTTCTACCGAGGTGATTCAACACCTAGTAAAATCTAAAAGATCACGCTCCTGTCGGAAGTAAAGTACATCCCCTTGGGGTCCAGGAACAGAACCTTTTTTGGTTCTGCTGTAGAAATTCACTGTTGCGCATTCTTACGGAGGTCTAATCTTACGCTTCAAAACTTGAAGAATCTCAATGAATTTTCAAACGCACAGGATTACTTGCTCATACAGTCAGGGGAATCTTTTCCATGTCTGTGTGCTTCAAATCATTGTTGTTGCTCTGAAGAAACTGAATCTACTATATCAATTATCTACATCATTCGATTTCTTGTTCATTCACACCATTCATCAGAATAAGAATCTTGCAGTATCGATTCGGCTGGCAAGAGTCGGATTTATTTCTCACTGGTCGCTTATCAATTTCAATTTTAATTCAACCGAGTCGTTTTCATCGTTTAAGGCTATATCATTATCAAGCAAATAAGATGTCTTCTACTTCAAGAAGAGGTTGTGCTGGTATGAAGAAAATGTCGGGTGGTCGATTCGCTGTTTACGCGATGACCACCGTCATGCTCCTGGGCACATGTGGTGCCGTCAACTTTGATATGCCGCAACCGGTTCGGCCAATTGGGCCACAACCCTCTTCACCTTCCCAAGGTGAGAAATTGGGTTTCCAAGGTGAGTCTTCGCTTGGAGGTGAGTCTTCGCTAGGACTGCTTGGTCGCAGTGCAAGTGGCACAAGCACAGACGCTGGCACCGGTGGAACAGGAACTATTATTACCAGCACATCAACACCGGAACTACCGGATCGGGAATCGCTATCTGAATTTGACTTGGGTGAGGGAGGCGCATCCCCTGAGGAAACCGGATTTGACGAGGTTCCTGCAGACCAAACAAGTGGGCTCTACTTCGATCCTATGTCGCCTGGTGACACTCAGGAGCAGGGTCTACAAGAATTACTGAGCGCCCTTGATCTTGACGCTCATGAATCTTTTGGCAGTTCTGGGTCTGGAATGCCTATCAAGGAAGGAAAGAGCAGTCCGAATAATGTTGAAGGTGGTCCCTCTGGCCCCCCTCAAAGGCTAGGAAAACCGCCTGCAGATCCAGAAGATTTTCAGCTGGGGGGTTTCACTCTACTACCACCTCCTGGAGCAGACGTGGTGGACGAGGGAGAAGTTCCCCAACGTCCTCGAAGATTAGGAGGTCCGATGGAAGATCCTCCTTTGGAATTGGATCATAATGGCTACTTCAATCTAGATGATGCTGGTAGTGCAGCGTGGAGTCCACTGACTGAAGCAGAAGAGAAGAAAGTTGCTGCGGCGCGTAAATTTTATAAAGACGCACCTATTCCGATGTTACCACCGCTGGGAGAGCTACACGATTCTCTCGATCATGATGCTGGTGAATCGCCTTCCACGAGAGAGGTCCGATTGCATCCAATAATTGAAGAGACCACGCCCTCGCCAAAAAAAGGTGCTCCTGCTGCTTCTAGTTCTACTTTGGCTGATGTTGATGGCGAACACAACAAGGAGCAAGAAGAGGAGAAGATACAAACCGCACTAGAATGTTACAAGAAGGAGAAAGAGAGGTTGCAGACTAGGTTGGCTCCATTTCGACAGGCTCTAAGAATGCCTTTCCTAGTAGCAGAGGAAGCGCTTGACTCGAAGCTCGGAAAGGCGATTAAAGCGATAGAGCAGTGGACAAAGGCTAACGAAGCCGTGAAAATTGCGTCTGAAAAGGTGAAGGAGGAAGAAGCAGCTTTTCCGAAAGACTTACGAGGATCATCTTCGGAGGGGATGTCTGGTTTTACTGGCCTTGAGTTTGGCAGAAAGATCTTTCAAGAGGCCATTGAAGAAGCAAAAGAAACTGAGCAAAACGCCAGGAGTCTCCGCGCGACAGCATCAGCTGAAGTTGAGGCAGCAGAGGACGCTGTTCGTGATGCAGAAGCGAAATGCGGCCTCGGGAGGGACGGCCGACGCGAGCGTAAGAAATGCACGTGCGCCTTGTGCATGAGCAGAAGAAGCCGTGGCGCTACGGGCCACTGGGTAAAAGGATAGAAAGACGCAGGCTTCGAGTCTTCCCATTTACTGTAGTACGTTGCTAAAGATATTTACGGAACTACTTAAGATGTTGTGAGTCTGAAGAGCATGAGCAAGAACATACTAGCGATAACAAACATTTCAGGAAATTTTCCTGAAGCAATAAAGTAGGTGTAGGTCTAGGTCTTCTAGGGCTGCGCTTGCTAGGTCTTCTAGGTCTTTTAGGGGGAATCCAGATCTTCTCCACGATGACGAAGATGAAGATTTTCAAATTGATCGTCACTTCTACAATGTTGGATTTTCTATTATATTCGAGATATATGATACATTAGATGAACACCAGCTGCATTCATTTCAACTAATACATAGTACTAAAAGAGTACTAGAAGCAAGCACGTCTACAGCGAACCGCTTACAACAACTGCATTCATTTTAACTAACACTAGGAAACAAGTACTAACTTAATTAATTTCTGAGAGCTTTTCGTTTTCGTATTCGTGCACCACAGTGTGCGATTTATTACGATAACGAAGCTCGCTGAAAGGCAATTTATTGTTGTCGATTTTCGTGGTAATTTAGTTCTTCATGTTGGTTCTACTTTTCAAGGTACTTCTAGCTAAGGTCCTTGGCTTCTGTTTTCACAAAGACTTATCAGATCTTAGAAAATCGTCTGGATCAGGACTTACCAGACTTAGTCCTCTAATGGTACTAATCTTGATGTCGTTGCATCCTTATTGTTCACGTAAGTGTAGTAATTCAAAGCCATTAAATGCTTAATCTCTCAGGTACATCATTACGAACCATCAAGGTCTAACTCTAATTTAACTGAAGTACATCAAGAGAAGAGGCATGTCTTCACGAAGCTACTCAAGCGGTTTCTTGAATTCACTCAATCACGGCATGTGAATCCACTGCGGGTTTTTACTTGAATTTAAGTACTCAAGATGAACGCACGAGCAGCCATATTTACTGAATCTTATCGAATTTTTTAACGATGAACCATGATTGATTTATTACCACCAAAGTTCAGTGGAGGTTTTTTTTTTAAATGTTCATCAATCGTCAGCTTCATTGATTACCCACCTAATATTTCACCATCAAAGTAGTAGTAGTTACAACATGCAAGGAACTACAACGGCACGCGCATCTTCATCAAATGCATTAAGGTCTTTGCGCCATGCCTTGTTTAGGGCATGCAAGATGACCTACAGCAGACCGAACTTATATATTTTATTCTTTCGTAATGAAAGAGTCAACATCCTCACCATGGTGAGCAGCAGCAAGATTTTCTCCTCCTTTATTACTTCGCGGAAAAAAGACCTGGAGAAGGAGAAGATTGTCTGCATCCTGTAAAAACCAGAACCTCATCAATTATATTTATGTCGGGAGACGAGAAAAGCTTTCAATGAATGGCTCTGATAATAAATAGGTGGAAGGAAGAACTATACCAGACATGAACTGGAACATTCAGACCATCTATATTTGAACGGAAGCTATACCAGAGGTTCTTGTTCGAACTATACCAGACGCGGATCAATACCGGAGGAGGAGCTTCCTTGAAGATGCCAATGCCTCCATGTGCTAACTATATTACGTACGTTTTATTGCCGTGCTCGCACTTCTACACTTTGTGTTTGTGCAACGGGAGACATCAAGCAAACCACCAGAATTATGGTCATTGTCGAAATGAGCTACTTACTTTTTCCATCTGACAGCTGCAGTGAAGAGTCCCTCTTGTCGTCAGTCATCAGGCCCATTCTATCCGATATCGGTTCTTCGACATCATGGGTCGGTCTCAATGCCTCTTTAGAGCGTTTTCGGTCAGCATCGGTTTAGATCGCACCTTCTGTTTTATCGTTTTCTCATGATCCAGTTACTGTGGTGAGAGCCCACGACCATGCTTCATTGAATATGTACAGTAGAAGTAGTACCTCCTGCGTTCGCGTACGCATACCCGCTGCAACGCACCGTTGCCATAACTAAGTCTCCTCTGAAAAATCCCGCAAGACGCATTTCCATGCTATCGTGGTAGTGTTGCTCATTCTTTGTAGTTTTCCATACACATTATTGCCAGAATTTGAGTATAACTATAACTTGGATACTATAATCTAGGTCCTCGTCTTGCTTCTTGCATACTCCTCCGCGCTTCTAACTGTGTCCTTGGTCATCCGCGTTGTAGATACTAACAAGTATATTAGGAAATTTTGTTTTTGATAATTTTGCGTAGAATGAAAAACGAGAAAATTTAGCTTCAGGATCTCTCAAGACACGAGAGAACAAAAAGATGTGGTCTCATTTACCCAGGGACCGAATCCATGTGGAACTCCATGGGGGGCTTGCGTGTGGTATTCGGAGTCGGGTTGAGGGAAAGTCTCCGACTCCCGCACCCGGGAGCTACAACCCATCCATGAAGATGACACGGTCACGATCGCTGGGTGCAGTGTCAGGAAGAGCGAAGAGGGATACCAATGACTGGTGAGTGTTTTGAGTGTCGATGGGCATGTTACTTCTACAACTGAAGATGTCAAGGACCACGACGAGGTTCTATCGTGGTGATCAAATTCGAGTGAGAAGAAATGAGGACATATTAAAGCCTCAAAATTGACCTTTTGCCAGGCACATCAATAAATCAAAGGAACAAGGCCCTTCTATTCTTCACTGACTATTACGAGTAAGAAATAGAGGTACTGGAACACAACGAACAAGGGACAACTAAGTAGACGACACAACTTACCTCCTCCAAATCTTACACCAAAGGTTGATCCGCAATAGGAGAGACAAGCCACCAATCTACGACACCACACGGAGCCTTCCCTCACGTTCGAATTTCAACTACATGTCCAGGCTGATGGTAGTATACTTTATTTTTCAGCTTGATGAAGATTCGTGAACAGGGCCGAAGTCGAACAAGAGTCTTTATGTTTACGTACTTGAAAGAGAAAGGGAAATGATAATTGTCATTCATATTTGCTTGCACGAGCAGCTGTAAAGTCATCATGACCAGTATCATCATCATAATCATCCGCCTTAGGTTCCCTCAACCGCTCGTGCTGGTTATGCCTCGAGTACGTCTGGTATAACCGTAGAAGGCCGCTTCTATCCGAATGAGGTGCAGAGGGATCTCTCGCAAGAGAAGTACATGTCCCATTGGGCATCCCCAACGATTCGACGAGGAATATCCCCATCCCGCATGAGCCAACACGAGCGTCACGACGAGCAGCTTTCGCCAGTTGCTTCCCCAAGGCCCTCGAGTGCGGGAGGAAGCGCTAGAAGGGAGCACATGTTTGTGTCAAACCGTAGTGGAGCCTCAGTGGTCCATAATTGGGCACGACCAGCGCCCGTTGCTGATGATATGGCGAAATTACATCCATGCACCGAAAGATTTTGACTATTTAGAAGTGAGAGGGGGGCTTATTAACCTAGTTCTAGTTGTAGTAGTCGCGTCAACATCATTATGGTCGTACTCGGAGTCGGACTCTACTAAGAATTGGAACACGACCTCGCAACCGGGATCACCCTTTCACGCGCAGCAACCTAAAAATGAGCTCCATGTAGTGCCTGGCGACTACCATAAACGTTCACCCGGCTTGATGTCCTTGAGTAGTCGCCCTGGAGCTGCTGTAGACAGTTCAGCACAATCGACTGCAAGCACAGCAACCACAAGCATGGGGAAGAATGTTAAGCAACTTTCTTGCTAAAAATGCTATTCAATGAATCTTCTGATCAAGTTTAGAAATCACATTGACTACTTACTCGGTTCGAACTAAGTGGGGAGATTATAAATGAAAGACACGATCCTGTTGCCGTGATCGGCACCGGCATCGACTTGACTACTTACTCGCAACTGTATTAACTCTTCTAACTCTAGCCGTGCAAATGGATCCTATGCCAGTGCCTTCGCTTATGCGCCTAAACCAAGAAATTTCTACGGTCTCAAAATGAAGGAAAAAGTTCTGGGAAATAGCATGGTGTCATCAACAGCACCGAGCAGTGCCGCTTCATCGCCAAAAAAAACAGCAGGAGGATCGAGGAAAGTGATAGTACTACAACTGCCAATATTTTTGATCAATATAGTACTCACTGTCTCTTGCTTGTTAACAGGTCCATTAAATAACTTGAGAAGTATTCATTGCTTCTACATCTACTACTCACGGCTAAAAAAGTTGTTCATGTCTCTTCATTTGATTTCGTCAGTGAGTCCCCTAACCGTTCCTCAGCAAGAAAAGCAAAAGCAAAAAACCCACTCTCCAGACAAAAGTCAAACGTGCCTACGGTGGTGGCATCCACTCAACGCTAGGTCGCTGTGATGAGGCTGCTTTGAATTTTGTCGGTGGAACAGTCAGAAGTCCGACTAGTAGTCCCAAAAAAGCCGAGGACGTGCGTAGAAAAACGGAGTTGCAGTCACAAATACGCGAAAGCATTTTGAGAAACAGAGAAGACCTAGACCGACGAGCCAGAATGCTGCAGATTCGGAGGATGTTATGGCCCTTGGATTTACTGATATTAAGTCATAATTCATCTTGGATTTTCATTTTCACAAATACTTTACTAGCTTGTTTCTTTTGGATAAATGTCATCGATTTTCATCACAGTTGTTAGGTCGTCTGGCCGTGAGCGTGAACATAAAGCACTCTCGTAGTTGTGAATCACAAACCGCTTCCAATACCTGAGATGGGCGAACAAACGGTATTTCAATCGACCGTTGAATAATTTTCAATTTCACAGTCTCAGTAGAAGTACGGGTTGTAGGAGTGTGACATGAACACGACAAACATCTTCTTCAAGAACGACCATCATTCTCCTTAAGAGCCATCCCCTTCTAAGACCTGAGATGGCCGAGCAAAAATACGCAGAGTTCGGAGGTCGCCACCAGCATATGGCTTCCGCAGCTTCCTCCGCACCAAGACAACAACAGGAGTTCGAGCCAGAAGTCCTCCAATTACCGGCATCTCTAGATGATGACGACGACAATATTGACTCAATGGTGGAGGTCAAGCGCGGAAACCGTCACGCTAATGCCAACCGTGGGGCTGGACCTTCTGCGAGACAAGTAGATTCAGTAGCTTCTTCAGTAGCTAGTGCGAGTGTAGGTATGAGACTTTTCTCTTCGAAGAGTACGCCCTCAAAGGCCGGTGATCCAGCAAGTGAGGAACAGGGGAGTCCTATTACGGCTACAATATATTTAAATAAGAATATTTGATGCAATTATAGCCAATGTCACGACGGCCGCTTACCAGTTTTTATATCGTGGTCTAGTTTAAGGGAAAAATGCGGATACCCATTGTCGTGATAGTTGTACATCCGCCACTAACTTGTCTCGTATGGTGCAGACGCTGTGTAGCCTTGATCACATGCACTGTATCCGTTACCTAACCCGTCTCATCAACACTTAGCTCCACACCATTTTTACAGTGATTATGCGTCGACGGAAGAAGAGTAACGCGGTACGACCTTCCTCTAACCTACGACCCAGTACTGGAGAGGAGCAACCGAAGACACGTGGTGCGAGCAAGCTGCTAGACCATGTGATGAAGAGCAATTTGCGATGGTCGAATCATGCTGAGGCGTTAAGAACTGACAGTGGAGTCAGGCTAAGTGCAGCTAAACGGTGAAAGTAGTACTTAGGTTGTTGGCTAAGGACCAGTAGTTATATCACATTGACGCTGGTGATAGCACTAGCAGCTATAGAGATACTACGTAGAAGAACACCTCTACCTGCTAACTTTCCCTTTCCTCTATGTCAGATGCACCAGGAGAGCATGCATCTATCTTCCTCGTTGTTACAAAGTATAGGTTTTGAGATTTTTCAAGGCCACTTCTAATTCTATAGCAGCCTTTGAGCCGACGGCCTCACGTCGATTGCTGACCTATAGAGATCACACGCTTAGAAAATTACCTTATTCCACTTCCACATCGAGTTACTGTATACGAAATTGAAAAGTATGATTTTTCTGTAAACCATACATGCATAGATATGAGTTATTGATACCTCTAGTACATCGATCTACATAAGTACTATGTTTGCCAAACTTTGGCGTGGGACGTAACAAAAAAGTTGAACAAACACGTATACGCTATTCGTTGGACAAACACTGAAAATAAATGGACATGATAATGCGGGAGTCTTTATAGTGAAACAATGTACGTTTGGATTCAAAGTTTTTGATGAAAAATTATAGGTGAAAATCCTAGTCAGTGACTACAAGTGTTTTCGTGTCTAGAATCATGCAAGCAAAAGCAAACACATCTTATGTAAGAGTAACAATTGTGAAGAAATTTCATGAATCAAAAAAAGTCATGTATCGTTGCAAGTTTTCCGTGTCGTGTGCATAATACGTGTGCATAACATATATATAATTATCACTGCAAATCAGTACTTGACGTGGACGATACAACTAATGGATGAAATTAATCGCATGTGGAAGATGTCGTGCCTAAGAATTTTTCTGAAAAAGGAAAGCAGGTGAGGTGGGACACATATTAAATCAGGAGTGGATCATCCGTATCCCGCGGAGCATCCTGATCTGTTCTTGACCTTGCCGAGACCATTGTGGCGTGTTAGGCTGGTCCGCTGCTGTTTTTGAATGTAGCTTTGAACAGCGTGCGAGAAATTGAGTAGCAGTAGGTGTGTTGAAGAGACTGAGCAGACGAATTACTTGCCTCTTTTTCTTGAAGTTGAAGTTGTATCTCCTGATCCATGCATTGAAATAAAGATGATGTTGACTCCTTTCTTCTGCAAACTCCTCATTGCGATGCAGGTCTCTCTCACAAGCGCTAATGATTCCCTTGCAAACTCCTCGTTGCGAGCTGCTGCATCATTAGCGCAGCTTGCCGAAAAGGAAGAGCAGCCGTCTTTCCTCCTCTCTAGACTTGGTGCATCTTTGGCCAATGCGTTTCCATCCTTTGAGGCTTTGGCGAACGACAACGTTGGAGGTGAAGTGCAAGTGGAAGCTCCTCCTCCTGACAACCTATTCTACAACGCAGCCTTCGCACCACTGGAGCGAAGGACGGCTGTTGCTGCGTCGTTAAAAGGAATTGGTGGAGAAGGGATGCGACGCTTTGGGCCTCGCAGTCCCGATCATCATGATTATAGGTACGTCGAGAAGTACGACGATGAGCAGCTCCCTGGTGGTCGCTATCAGCTAGGCGTACCGTTTTCGGAACTGCTACAACTGGTTCGATCCTCCAGAACATCTTCCGCTGGAGTGGAAAAAGGAAATGCCTTGGAGATCGCTCTCCAGCAACAGACTATCCTGGACCAGCTACAGAAAACGTTTTTCGAGTCTGTTATTAACGGCTTCTCTTTCGCTGTGGACCAGTTAGCTTTTTTTCGAGGGTTTTCACCTGATTCCTTCTTCTGGACCTCCTTCACGACAAGGGAAAAGAATATGGTGCAGAAGTTTCGGCGCGACGGCTTTTTGAAAATCGAACACTGGGACCCATTGCCGAGTATGAAGAGGGTGACCAATGACCGTTGATCATTGTAGTGCTTAGTGTTGGGTCATTCGAGTTCGTTGTAATTGTGAGGTTGCTAATTCTTTTTCTTACATGAAGAACAAATGATATTACAACTACTAGGGCCAGCCTATTCGTTCTTGTTTGTGCCCTCAAAGCTGCGCCGCAGATACCACCCGGAGGCACGACATCTTCAACGGCTGAAGATGAAAGTCGAAACAACGCCACCACCAGGACTCGCAGAAAGAAGGTCACGTACGAGTCTGGGATCCTGCCACATCGCTATCTCGTGAATCAACTGCTGGTGCAGCCTGAAAGCATCCTCCGGAAACTGGTACACGGTTATCTAGGCGACTATGACGTGAGCTATCACGGGATTCAGTACCATGAGCTGAAAGACGACTGGGAGCCGACGGATTATAATATTATGGAACAATTGGACCACGTCGCTCTCGCAGCTGGTAAACGGAAACGTGAACCGAGGACTCTATATAGAATAAATTTAGAGGTTATTTCTCGCATAATTTTCTTGTTGTAATGTAAAAAAATAGCGTGTCAACAATAACAAACACGCTGACCTGGATATCTCTAAGAAAAACGGAGCATGGCACCACGATGGTTGCGGTCGAAGACTGAAGGCTTTTATCTACCTTGACGACGTCCCTTTGACTAGTCGTCCGACTAAGATCCTAAGCGGATCCCATACCATGGAGTGGCTTCCTGCAACCCACGCTTTTGGCAACGTTGGTGGCCTCAAGAATATCGCGGATTCTGTTATTCTGCCTGGCGAAGTAGATGTTCTAGAAGGTGATGAAGATGATGCCCACGCCCATGCTTCCTCTACAACTGCAAAAACTACTACATCTACACCTGTCCTTACTAGACCTACTCGTACAAAGCAGAGGAAAAGAAGAAGTAAAACCTCCTTCGCCTCTCCCTCTCAAGTTCATCTTATGGATGGCCTACAGTACGGTGGTTTCGTCTTTGACACCAATATGTTGCATGGGGCTCACATGCACGTTTTTCCCAGGGAAATCCGAAAAACGCGTCGCGTCTTCATCCTAGATTTTGCGGCTATGCGGCATATGGAAGAACTACCAAGAACCGGATTGTCCGAAAGGGAGACGGAGAAGATGAGACAGAGGGGGGATGAGAATGTTAAGGTAACAAGTACTAGTAGCGAGGCCCGTTTGTTTGCGCTTCATAAATTAACTTGTTTCCAGATTGAGAACGAAGATGTTCATCCCAGTCTATGTCTAATTTTCCGACTCTAACTAGTACAATTCGACTGGTAGCGCAATATTTTTTCTCTTTCTGTATAATTATGATAGATTACTTCTGAATCTGAAAAAACACCGATCTAGTCGCAGTCCCGTCTAATATCCTCAACTCCGGTGGTAGAATACCAGACGACTTGTGTCCAAGCGAAAACCATCCAGATCGCGTAAGATGGGCATATGGGATGCAGAATGTTGCGGAGTGGAAGAAAAGCCGAGCTAGACTGTTGATGAATCGGAGTGCAGCATCAACTCCAGCACCTCTAGGCGAATATTTGGATGCGGATGACCAGAGTACAGCACCAGCTGCAGCTCTAGGACGTTTGATTCGAGAAGGAGGAATACAACAAGAGATTTCTTTTCCACGCAAACTAGCTGGAGCAGTAGCATCGACGCCCTCCGCGTCATCAGACAGCAATGACAATCACCATCAGGACCAGGAGCAGCGTGATTTTTACCGTCTTAGGTCTGCGCAATACGTGAGTTCTGATTGGGAGCGATGGTGGCAGGACAGCATTGACAGAGTGGAAAAAGAAAGGAGCATCTGCAGTGCATTGGTTGACGAATCAGAGGAACTTCGACCAAAGCTAGCGCATTTCATGACGTTGACTGGATGTGACGAGGTGGATGACAAGAAGATCATATCATATAGCACTAGGAGGATCAAGTTTTTTGGTGACGGATGGTGTCGTGTGTCACGAAATATTGCTGGTGTGGACGCAGCCTCGACTACACTTCTGAAGGATGACAACAAACAGAATCAAGGTTACTACTTTCATCCAGAGAAGTTCAGATTTAGAAGATCAATGCCGTTGCCACTCGTCACCAAGGATGAACAAGTACACGCTATAATTCTGAAAGAAGAGGTAAGGGAACTACATTACGACCCAACAGTTTTCTCGCGGTTTGAGTACGTTTATGAGAAAGTAGGCGTACTACTAGCAGGACCAGGAGGTCATAAAAATGAAGCAAACAGGCAACTACATATTCAAAGAGAATTCATCGAGCCGCTCGTCGGACACTTGCGGCATCCATTAGCAGGTTGTGAAGAGCACCTTTTTTGGGAGACAGATAGAGAGGAAACTACTAGTACAACATCTACTGCAAAAGCTACAGGAGGTGCAGCTACTGCTACAGACAACAAGCCAATAACAAGCAACATAGAGCAAGGTTTCTTCGTCTCTGATTCTAGCTATGTAATGCCACTGCCTCCCGATTCTGTATTACTACCTTCGACGCGGCCTAGCACGACTACTTCTTCTACACGTCTCTATCTCGATTTTGGAGCTGGGCAGTATGCGGAGCACAACGTCTCTAGGACCTTTACGACGTTGATTGGTGCTTGGGAACGGCATGCAGAGATGAAATTTGATGCTGTCGCAGGTTGGGAACCGAACGTTGTGATGGACGGCACAGATGATTCGAAGAAGAATAGGGTTGATACGCCAGCGAATACCACAAGAACTGCTTTCAAGAGACATTTTTTTGAGACCTTGCCAGAACATCTCCGAGAGCGCATTATCATGGCTACCAAAAGCGAGGACAGCACCAGTACTAGTACACAACTAGTACCATCAACACCGCAGCAGCTTCGTTTCGACTTGCATACGAATGGATTGACTGAGTTTCCAGCGCGTCCACATAGCTGGCTCCCTTGCCTAGTGAAGGCGAAGCAAGCGGTTCAGCAAGAAAATTACAACGATAAAACCCTTAAAAATCAGCACACTTCCTATACGTTAGTGAAACTCGATATCGACGTGAACGTAGTCGAGAATGCTGTGGTGGATTCAATCCTCGACGAGCCTCTGGAAGATCGATACTCTTTCGCGAGAAGAGCGCCAGTAATACAAGAGTTCTTGTGGGAGCACCACGTGAACAATTACCTGATGAATCCATACTGGCTGGAGACGGGATATTAAGGCTAATCCTAGTGAAGGGAACCCATTGCAATTTTAGTGACACCTTAGTACTGTATGTTGTTGTACCTGTATGTCTGACAAGTGTCACAAGTAACGATGGGTTCCCAGCATAGACGTTCGCTCTAAGGCAACCAATCCCAAGAGTCTATCGCAGACTCACACAGGAAATTTTATAGGCTCAGGAAGGAGAAACTCATACGTGCACACAGCTGGGTTTAGCAAAGCTATGTATGAAACGCGAATAGATGCTGTTTATGACTTTCACTTTCATGAAGATACAACACTGGCCCAACGAAGAAGGGAAGCAAAAATCTAGAAAAAGCAACTGAAGACCTGGTCTATTTCTTTGTTCACCCTCCCGCAGATCTTGACCGATCCAGTTCGACAGTTACTGGATGCTAACCAGCACTCTTGTGCCAAAGATCGGAATGCGAACATGATCAAATTGAATTTTTGAATCTGTGTGTGGATCTCTTGATGAACAGCCAAGTTCACTCCAACGTTGAGGATCACTTCACCACTATGGATCTACTTACCCTTTCACCACTGTGGATCCCAACTTGATCTGTCTTGTAAGATCATGTTCATCTCCGTCAAGATATTTTACACGATTATCGTATTCTTACTAGTTACCAATTAAAAGTATAATTGTGGTTTCCCTTTTTTGCAGGAGCATGCATGTGTTCAGTTTTGTCTTGATTGACGACTGATTTGTTGCTTCATCATGATAGAAGGTTTATTTCATTTTCACATGAAACATAAGACTTTCATCTGAAGAAATTGCTGTTCAAGACTAAAAGTAACGCGGAAGAAGTAGGGCAAAAAAGATGTCAGAAAAACGACTTCTGAATCGAGTGCAGGAGTGCATTCGCGAAGCTGATCTGAAGAATGCTGATCATATTTGCGAAAGACTGCGCAGAAAGTTCCCAGAGTACGGTCGCAGGGATAAGCGGTCGCTGAGAGGCTTGATCCAGCAGCAACTGGATCAACAAGCGAGTACAACAAAGGGTGCAGGGCAAGTAGAAGGGCAAGCGGCGAGCACCAGTGGGGATGCTACTACAGGTGGTTCGTCTGCCTCTGCAGGTGGAGCCACACCAGGAGGTGGTGGTAAGAGAGGAGAAGAGGGTTCTACCACTGATCGTGACCAGACCACCAACCCATCATCAGAGCAACAGGAGCAGCATCGCTCAGAGAGTAGTTTTCGTGGAAAGAAAAAGCGGAAGCTGAACAGCTCATCCTCTAAAGCCACTAACATAATTATAGGTGGTACATCAACCAGCAGCCTCTCAATTTCAGCCTCTCCTTCTCCAGCATCGTCGCCAGCGGGAAGTGTCATATCAAATGATGCGGAAAGTGCACTGGCTGCACTGAATACCCTTTGTGCGGGAAACAATGCTGGAGACCGAGATCAAGCAGCCTCTTCAGCACCCACGTCATCCTCAATGCCTATGGTTGGGGCAAACCGATCATTGCAAAACCTCTACAGCGCTATGCCTCCTGCTACGTCGACGAAAAGTGACTCGACCGCTACTGCCATAGGTGGGCAGCAGGGTGGAGCCACAAGTCAAGGAGCCACAAATAAAGCACCCTCAGCATCTGTAACGGGTTCTCGTGAAAACCGGAAACTAGAACGCTTACGCGCCTTGGCTAATGGCTCTAGCAGTGGGCAGGCAAATAGTAGTGGAAGTAATCTCCCTAGTGGGGGGCCTCCAGGCTCGTCGAGCGGTTGGTCTCCGGCAGATTCTGAAGTGACTGAGCCAGCATACGACTTGGACAGTATGGGTGGCATCGAAGAGTTACGCGAAGAAATTAGAGATCTCGTTCTTTACCCTCTGCAGTATCCATCACTCTTCAAACACGTTGGTGCTGAACCGCCAACTGGCGTTTTACTGCATGGCCCACCAGGTAGTGGGAAAAGCATGCTCGCACAAGCCATTGCTGGCACGCTTAAACTAGGAGATATTCCGACTTTTTGCATTGCCGCACCTGAGATCGTGTCCGGAGTTTCTGGCGAGAGTGAAAACAAATTGCGTTCTTTGTTCCAGGAAGTCAAAAGTCGGGCTCCCGCATTGTTGTTTTTCGACGAAATCGACGCCATTTTACCGAAGAGAGACCACTCAGACCGGCAAATGGACCGACGTATTGTCGCCCAATTTTCGCACTGTCTGGATGAGTTGCGCAGAGAATCCGTGTTGGTGCTAGCTGCTACGAATAGACCAGAGAGCATTGATGCGGCGCTGAGACGGGCTGGACGGTTTGATAGGGAGATCGCTATGGGAATCCCAAATTTGGCGTCCAGGGAGAAGATGCTCAGCATTATCACTAGAGAAATGCGTTTGGCTAACGAAGTCAGTTTGAGGGAGTTAGCACGTAATACTCCAGGCTATGTGGCGGCGGATTTGGTAGCATTGACGCAAGAAGCAGCACTCAGTGCGGTCAAACACTTCTTTGCTGGGAAAGAACGAGCTTTTTTGGAACTGGAGAATAATAATAAAAAGGAAAGCGAGGTGGAAACTACTAGCAAAATGGAATCTGCGAGCGTAAATGACAAAGACAGCGTTGGTGAGCAAGTGAAAACAGACGACGACGCGGCAGCATCCGATGCAAAAGCTGACCAGCAGGACGACGCTTCCGATATCGAAGACAACAAAGCAGAATCTGACGACTGCAAAGATCAACTATCCTCCAACAAGGATAGTCGTAAAGTAACCTTTGAATCTCGAAACGACTTTAACCTTCCACCAACTGCGGCAGACGATAGCAGCGACAGTTCGGATGACAATGTTGAGATGACTTCTGCTGGTGTACAGGACAAGGAACAATCTGAGGTGGAAATAAAAGCTAAGACATCTATATCTAAGACCCACGAAAATATGGAAGACGTCGAGGAGGAGCAAGCTTCTTCATCTTCTATTAAGAATCCTACGACCACCACGGTAGCAAGTGTTTCTTCCGCTTGGATGCGTGGGTTCGGTATTTCAGAGGAAGAGCTTGCTCAAGTTTGGATCTCCTCTCGCGACTTCAGTGCCGCACTTAAAAAAGTCCAACCATCTTCGTTGCGCGAGGGTTTCGCGACTGCGCCGGATGTTTCCTGGGAAGACGTTGGAGGTTTGATCACTCTACGGGAAGAACTGGAACTCGCGATCATCGAACCTATTCGCAAAGCCGATTTGTTTGCTTCTTTAGGCCTGAATACACCAGCTGGCGTGCTACTCTACGGTCCTCCAGGTTGCGGTAAGACCCTAGTCGCAAAAGCCGTCGCTGCTGCAGCTAACGCGAATTTCATCTCCGTCAAAGGCCCTGAACTTTTGAACAAGTACGTCGGCGAGAGTGAACGTGCAGTCAGATCCGTGTTTCAGAGGGCAAGAACGAGCTCTCCTTGCATCATATTCTTCGATGAGTTAGATTCGATGGTGCCGAAACGTAGTTCTGAAGGGAACAGTTCGCAAGAACGAGTGGTGAATCAGATGTTGACCGAGATGGACGGCATGAACACTAGACGAGACGTATTTGTCATAGCAGCGACGAACAGACCAGACATCATCGATGCAGCAATGTTGAGACCAGGACGTTTGGACAAGTTACTCTATGTGCCTTTGCCAGACGAAGCAGGACGAAAGGATATTTTGGAGTCTTTGACACGGAAGAGTCCGTTGAATAGAGGCATTTCTAGTACAACAACCAAAGCCAGCCCCACAGATGCCAATGGAGCTGTCGATGAGACTTCGTCTCAAAAGCCACCAGTTGACCTCGCCTTAGTCGCATCAAGAACAGAGGGCTTCACTGGTGCAGATTTGGGCGCTTTGTGCCGGGAAGCGACAATCAGAGCCATGAAGTGGTATCTAGACGAACTGAGACGCACTGGATTAGAGGATGCTGCAGCAGCTAGTACGAAGGGTTCCACCGATAAGGACAATTCATCTGATAATGCCGCCGCTGGAGCTCGCAAAGTCGTTATTCAGCAGAGTCACTTCGAAGAGGCGCTTCAAAAAGTTGTTCCATCTGTATCAGCAAAGCAACAAGCGGAATACAAACACCTTGCGGCTAGAATGCAGAAAGAAGCTAGAATACAAGGCTGATCTGATGAAGTTCAAAGAAAAGTGCTGTTTCATCAATCATGTATGTATGTCGTGTTGTAGTTTAACCCTTTTTTACTGCGATGACTGTAATTACTGAAGAAGAATCTACCTAAACCTACGACCAAAAGCACTGCCCTATTTCCAATGTGGAGTGGGATGATCTCCAGAAATCTGCTTGCATGACTTACTAACGATCATTTGACGACCATCTAAGAAAGAGCCGTGTCGGTTCAAGAAAACCGTTTCCGTTTTTTGCGTTTGTTTCCGTGTTCTTGAAGAACAGCAACGGTTTCTGTGCGAGAAGAAAGAATGCGAGTGTGAGTGAGAGATCGTGGAGATGGAGTTGTTGAAAGATTGGGATTTTTTTGGCAGAAGAACAAGGACTGAGAATGGACCCTGCTTGTTGTGCATCCTTATCTTTTGACTCTTACCTTTGATTGTTTTCAACCTTTCAGGAGGAATGTCGAACGGTCCTCTGATAGAAAAGAAACTAGGAAATGCATGCGGTTGCTTGTGGAGATCGACATAAAACATCATGATACGACTTTGACATGACAACATATCAAGAGTGGACAATAAGAAACAACATGTCATCTTGCGCCTCGTTCTCACCGACGTCGTGTTCGGGACCGTCGTGGAGGCTCTCAGGATGCTCTAAGATATGGTCGAACGTAGGAATGCAGTTGGCTTCATGGTGTACACGAAGGCGGATCAGGAGGAATAGACACAGTCGTAGTACGGCAATGGGAAAAGGCGCACAAGAGCATCAGGGGAGGACTGTGGGGCCTTGGTTCCTGCTTAGCGCATTCGTTGGCGTGATAACAAGAATGAAGAGGTCCTCCCGTTCGGCACTTGCTGCCGCTTGGCTGCTCCTTACATCCGGTGCGACCATATCTACTGCCTGGAAATTCGCAATCGATCCAGTAAAACGGGCTAGCATGAACGAGATGTTTTACTCTCTGCCCTTTCCGCCTCCCTGCAACGGTAGCGAACCCGAAGACGTTTTCCAGCCACATTGCGTTCCAGGTTTATCGAAGTGGGTCCACGAGTATGCTCCTTGCGAATATTTCGGCTTCCAGTACTCGATGGAATGGTTTTTCGCTCATGTCTTCGACGAAAACAAGCAATTTCTAGCTCAGTCAGCGGATGATGCGTATTTCGTCTTCTTTCCGCACTGTGTCAGTCGAGTTTATTTCGTTTTCAAATTAGACTTGGGCATGGAGCATTGGGCCGCAATTGCGAAAGCAGAAGCAGATTACTTAGTTCCGCTGTTGCGTTGGACGCATTTGCACCCACTGCACAAAAAATTCGGTGGCAAGAACTTCTGGACCGTGTTTTCCATGGATTTGGGTCGTCAGGATTTCCAGCGTTCGGCACCTTATCTACAGGAATGGTCAGTAGGGCAGTTAGCGGGGCATCCGGAGTGGATCCATGGACACTTCTGGACGGGAAAGGAACAGCCGACATTCACGAACACGCATTCTTCGATTATGTTTTGTTGAGTTGTTCGATCTTTTTATAATAAACGACTCACTGACAAAAATGACTTATCAATCTTCACCTGTTTACCACGCTTCCATCTCCATAGACTGTCTGATGATCATGCACAAATGTTGAAGATGCTACAGTATTTTCGGTTATACTCTCTAAGCCCCGTAGTTGCTGGAAAGTGGACAAATGTTGAAGATGCTATAGTATTTCCGTTTATATTCTCTAAGCCCCGTTGCTGGAAAGTCTTCAACAGTATTTCCGTTTATATTCTCTAAGGGCCGTTGCTGGAAAGTGGACACGGAACATGTTGTGGCCGCCAACGAAATCTTCTCGGAGAGGATCCAATACTGGTATGACACGGTGATTTCCATTCCGACGAGATTTTCAAAGTCTACGGCAAGTTTACGTGCTGACGATCGCGATATCGAGCTCTTCTTTGCTGGGTCACCCAATAGCTGTGCGAGACGAACTGCTATTGAGGAACTGAATAAGATCGGAACAGACGAAGGGTACAGAAAGGAGCTGCAGGGACTGGCGCAGGCATTCTCTTCTTCTACAAGCTCAAGTGGAAGCGAAGGAGCTAGAAAAGGCAAAGGAAAACAAGGAAAAAGTACAAGTAGAAGTACTTCCTCCAGTACTAAAAGTGCAAGTGGTACTAGTACTAGAAGTTCTACTGCTCCTGTACCTGTCGAATTCGATCAATCCAAGTACGTTGTGCTGAATTTCACAGCATCTTCAGAAGAGTATGAGCAGCTGATGTATCGATCCAAGTACTGTCTAGTCATGTGCGGCTCCTCGCACACCAACAATGTCCGCATGATTGACGTGATGGTACACGGCTGCATCCCTGTGATCGTGAGTGACGACTTCCAGCCACCTCTGAGTGGTGTGGTGCCTTGGGAAAAGTTTGCGATATTTCTGCCTACGTACAAGATTCGGGAGATACCAGCAATATTAGCGAGTATACCAGAAGAAAAGCGTTTGGAAATGCACAGGTACCTAGTGGGATCCGGCAGGACGAGTCTAGATGAGACAAGCGCCGCAGACATCTTCGATTGGCAGAGCGGGATCTTTTTCATTGCGTTTTTTTTCGATGTGCGACGCAAGCTGGGAAAACGAATAGGATTGTTCGACGACAACAATGTTCTTGGAGCTGCAGAAGGTAGTAGAAGCTTGTTTGATCATGGCGCAAAGGCAAACAAGATGCTCGTGAGCCCTAAACACGTCAGCAGCTTGGGCCGAGAGCTTTTTCTGCAGAGCGGTAGTGAAGACGCGGTTCCCAATTGGTACGCGGGCGACGGAGAGAAGGAGGGATTCGGTAACCAACAGTGGGAGTGGCTGTCGACATCTTCATCCATGGTAGAAGGATCAGCAATGGTAGAAGAAGGAACGGATACGGATGCAGCTGCACAAGTTCAAGTAGTAGAGGACGATGAACAAGCGAAGATAGCTGAGCCAGACGATGGTTTGCAATCTGAGGGTTTGATCCCAGCAGAAGGATCTGCCACGCCAACCGAGGGTCAGACTGAAGAAGCCGAGCTTCTACAGCAGGAGCAGCGTGAATTACAGGCATTGATCACTCCGCCAACAGCGTCGGAGAAAGCTAGAATGTCCATGACCGAGCATCGGATGATGGCCGAACGACGTGTGAAGACATTCCGAAGTCTGGGTTTGATGCGCTGGTACGAGTACCTGGATTCCTATTGTGAAGAGGGTGTCTGCGCCAATGGTCGTGAGCGGTTGGATACTAGTTTCGCAACTGCAAATTTGGGCTGTGCTGATGCCGAGACGTTGTTGCCGACTCTGTCGTACATCTACGACTTGCTCAAACGGCGTTTTGAATTAGCCTCCTCCTCTATAGGCGACAAGGAAATCGCGATTTTGCCAGGTTTATGGGTGGATGGCGGCTCCAACGTTGGCAAGAGTAGCCTAGCTTGGTTTTCCACCATCGGTCGAATGCCACAGCACATCTACGCAAAAAGTCTCAAATCCGTAAAGGACTGCATTGTTTGTCCCGTCCACTATGCTGCGGACATCGCGGTCTTGAGTGTAGAGCCGAATCCTAGGAATTTCGAGAAGCTTCTGAAACAACCCTACGTTCAAGAACACGAATTATTTGCCTGGTACGGGATTGAGGCTGGACTAGGGGAGAAAGAAGGTATTCAGATGATGGCAACCAATCCAGAATTTGCAGTGGATGAAATCGGTAGTCTCTTGTTCGACGATGCTACAGACATACGAACCGCGCGTGACCAAGTGCATGTGGTGACATTGGAGACAGCAATACTTAAGACTTCGTTTTCAGGACGAATCCATTTCCATCTTTAGATTTAGAACAAGCGCCCGGGCCTGGGGTACCGGTACAACCCCTCTAAGGGAGAAACAGACCCGCCAAGATGACTTTCAAGATGGATTCATCTGGGAAGATCTAAGACACAACATGCAGTGTTTCACTTCTCCTACCATCGAGGTGGATGGACTAGCAGGCGGGGTAGGAATCACCAAAGACGAGGAGGTGTACCGAGTTGGGACGACCAGGAGTTCTTGGATCGAGTCCTTGAAGGTGTTGAGAGTGGCAACAAGCAGGATGGAACTCAAACTACTAACGCAGAAACTACTGCTACTAGTACAACAAAAACTTCTGAGGAGGCGGATGTGGAAGAAGACCAGCTTCTACAAGAGTCTGAAGGACCTCCCTCAGGTCCCTACGGCATGTCATTTCCTCAAGAACGGCCTGTTTTCATGCTCAAACTCGACATCGAAGGTTACGAACCGCGGGTTATCCGCCAGTCGCGCTCTTTGTTCGAGCAGAAGCAGATAAAATTCCTCGTTTTGGAGTACAGCCAAAACGCGTGGGCAGAAGGGTTGAAGCGAACGATCAAGTTCTTGGATTCTGTAGGATACTTCTGCTTCCTAATATTAAGGCTTCCCTTAATCCATCCTTGTAGACATCCCTCAAACACATGCGCCCCAATATAAGGGACCATACTGACGCATATGCTTGAGGGATTTCCACAGGGATGAATAGGGGAGAGATCTAATAATAACTAGGATGGAACTTTTTCCGATTTCGTTTGACTTCTGGTCTGGCGATTACGAAAATCCGATCTGGAGTAACGTCTTTTGCGGTATCGTGGGAGATAGCGACTTGGATCTCTTTTTATGGTTTCACTGAGAAGTGCAAATGCAAATGTCTGATTTTGAAGTAAGTAGTAAGTAGGAGGTCATGACTCTTCAATTTGGTGGTCTCTACGGTGATCAAGAATGATCATGACAGGGGCACACACGACATGGACATGACATCAATTTCATATTCAATCGATCAAACAACAACCGCTCTCTATAATGTACACTGAGCCTAAATTATGTTAAAACAACAACAGAGTCGTGGTTCCAATTCCCTCCATTCCCTATCGCTATGAGCCACAACTTTTCTCTTCAGGATGATGCGAGGCTAGGCCTCTAATCTTTGTCGAGATGTATCATCGCGCACCGCAGCCGATTGACGTAGTTCCCGGTGGCCCAAGAATGCGTGGAGCAAGGCAAGTTGACGGCAAGGAAGACGAGCAGCCAGTAGGTGTTGCTTCACGTGAGAATGGTGGTCAAGAGCAAGAACCAGTTGTAGATTTAAGGGTAGGTTAAAGGTGCTTTTCTTACCGCTTTTTATGCCTCTCCTAAGGGAGAAAGGCATAACAAGCGGGGTAAGCGCGCGCCAAAAACCTACCTCTAATAGCTGACGCAGTACTAGAGGACGCCGATTTAGGAGGTGAAGTATCCTCCTTCGAGACAAGAGCAAGTACTAGAGATCTAGTTTCCCAAGAATCCGATGGTTGGACGGCTCACCGTAACCGCTATCTACTTGGACACACAGAACTGACTACAGCTGCAAACTTATTCTCGCTGAAGCGCGCCAAGGCTATTTGCGGTCGCCTTGACGCGCGTTTGTGTGGTGGGGTCACGTGTATCCGGTCCGATTTCACAACGGAAGACATGGTAGTGAAAGAGGATAAGAAGAAGATTAAGGCTCGCTTTGCACTATTCCATTCCCGTTCTTCCCACGTGGATTACTCTGTTGAGTGAACTGAAGTGCCCCTTGACCTTGATTCAAAGGGAAAAATAAGGAGGGAGAGGTCGAAATTACTCAACTCACTCAAGCCGGAATACATAGTGAAAAACTAGCGCTAAGAAGAAAGAAGACATGCCGTTGAGCAGTTTCAAGGACCAGTTAGTGTGCACGCTGAGGGTTGGTCAAGAAGGTCCTTTAGGCCCTAGCCCGACTCGAGAGATCACGTTTATGCGACCAGCGTCTGTGGCTAAGCCAGGCACGGTCATCCTACCGCACGGAACGGGATCTAGTGCGAACGGAGGCGTTATCGCGGAGGACGAACATCCATTTTTACAGTGGCGAAGAAGGAAGTCGTTATTCGATTAGTAGGTGCACAACGAACATCATGGACATGTTGCAGTTGAAATAGCAGAATGCACATGCACGAGGACGTACACATCTTTCATCATGATCACCTTCAGAATATTGATAGTCTGTAAACTAATGCAAAGCTAAAAATGACGACTCTTCTACTACAGCAACATGCAGTCAGAAATGTTGAGACACGATTAATATCTGAAGGCCTGTCCTCTAGAGGAAGTCGGAAGACGATGAAAGGGACCCGGGTGATTTTTGTTCTTCATCTTCACATTCCTGCATCTCTGTCCAGGAACCCAATTGCCAATTCGAAAAAGACCGGTCCCTTGTGAACCTGGCGCGATCTGAAAAATATGACCATGATCATTCTGATTTATTATCGTACTTGTCGAATTAGTAATAGTATTAGAGTACTTAGCAATAGCTGAGGCACTGCTTCACGGAGAGAAATGATCAACAGATCAAGAGCGCCGAGGAGCATCATGGAGTCTTCAGAGAGGAGAGATATCTATGTCAACATCTTTCAAATTAGATAATTTGAGTAAAGTCAATACAAGTGTATTTCTTCCTAAGGGGGCTTTAATCATGGGCTTTGCAGCAGATGTTGTCATTGTTGTGTCTCGTTCTCTTGCGAACTCTGGCACAGGGATCGAAGCCTGCCTCTCACAAAGGGGGAAATAAGGGGAAGGGAGGAAAAGGTGGAGATCACGTCCTCAAGGATGGTGATAAGATACGGTTAGGGACGATAGATGTTGGGAGTGGCGACGAGACTCTAGTAGAGGACAGCGTGGCGGTTGGGGCACCGTCAGGAGCTGAAGTGCAACGCGAAACTAAAACTGCTGCAAGAACATACTACGACCAAGAAGAAACTCTAGTATCAGAAGAACCACCAGAACAAGGACCAGAAGAATGGCACGACTTCGCAACTGTGATCGTGTCGAGTCCTCAGAGTCGACCCCTACGCCGCGTCGAGATCATGGAGGAAACGATGAAGACCTTAGCGGAGAGAACACCGAAATTAAGGCTGTAGTACTCGTCATGAAGTCCTCCGTTCCTTGTTCATGTAAATACTCAGGCACTTCTCAATCATGTGGTGAATGAAAAAAAGAAGATTTATTTGGGGTTCTTGCAGAGATAGTGAGCATTCTTGGAGTTTTCTTTTTGTTCACTTTAACCTCATCTTCTTCTACACAGCCACATGCCTCGTGGAAATGCCAAGGAAAACAATATGCGGACCACCTCCTTCCTCTAACTCCCCACTTGGTTCACCTTTGCTTCGATGGCAACACGATAGACCGAGTGCGCACGATCTCCTACGTCCACATCCATCCAGAGCTAGCGAACAACGCCACTTTGCGCCAAGAAAAAACACTCTGGCAGCTAAAGTTGATGAGCGACGAGCTCGCAGATGCGGAAGAAAGATATCTGAGGTACTAGGTTTTTTTTGTTTTGAAAATAGCAGAACATCTGATTGTATGTGTAAATAGATTGATTTTGTTGAAGACGTACACTACGACTACAGCCCTGTACCTACTATGGTAATTATTTAATGTAGTCAGTGACTTGCCTGACGCCTACGCCCGTATCAAATATTTTGGGTCGCTATTTTGAGTGTGTGAATGGTTAGGCGCGCACACAGCGCCGAGTGGCAGCGGCCGCGACCTCGTGTCGGATGGGTGACAGTCTCCCGTTAGCGCCTTGCGAAAAGTGAGGGTTCGTTAACCTGCATTCAGGAAATGGCTCCTGAGGTGCCATCCACCTGCGCGAGAGGCGGTGAGTGAGAAGCGCACCGTCGTCCCAGCTGGGCCATGAGAGCTCCCGCGGCCCCGTCTGAGTAGCCCGAGTGGGGTGTCCTGGGCCTAATAACAGACTGCTCTCCAACGGGCGAGAGCGGTACCTGCGCCACGGTATTTGTTCCTCGTTATAATCTACATAACACAGTTTAACCCGATCCGGCAACCCGAATTTTTTCGCAAATTATGTACCCATCCGAAACGGAACGACTATGATGGCTGGCGCACACCTCGACTCTAGATGTAGGAAGCCCTTTAACAACACAATCTATCGTGATTTCAAGAGAAGGGCAAAGAACTCAGCGAGGAGGATATTCCAGAAAGGATGGTGGGCAAGGGCGGAAGCAGATGAAGCAGCTTTCACCGCAAGTAGAATTAAGGGTTGAAACATTTCATATTTGTACGCATGTCATGATGATTTGGCACATTTCAAGAAGAAACGTGTCTTCAAATATGTAGGGCAAATATGAATTGTTTCAACCTTTAATACAACTTCCTCCACTCCGTCACGAACAAATGACTCAGCTCTTACAAGAACATCCTCTTCCCGATCTTCCCTCTCCTTCGCTCCTCTAGCTCATCGTCGGTCATCTTCTGTGTGGAACCCCTTTCGAGAAGATGCTATCTCCTTGCGTTCCCTGAAACGCCGCGGACTGCGGAGTACCTTTTTCTCCGATGTCCCCAACTTGCGCATGGTCGAGTTGAACAAGAGAAGCTGCCTCGGCGGCGTCCTAGAAAGTTGCATCTCTGCACTGCCTCCAAGGATCAAATTAGTACACGTGGTGCAAGCGGATATGCCATTTTTGTTAAGGCAGAATAAAGTAAAACAAGTCTTGTACTTGTAGTAGTACTACTAACTATTTAGAAAGTCAACATCGTACACAACTACTACTACTAGTGATTACTTCTACCCGTACAGAAACATTATGAACATCTTCATCATCTGTTTTGAAGAGTGCTAACGTAATTCACCTGCAAAGACAACACCTTCTCGACCACGTCTAAGGACCCGTAGGTTCGACTTCTCTGGTGTAGTCTCCTTGATGCGTGCCTCACGGCAGATCCGAGACCAAGCTGTGGCCTCTACAAAAGCTAAGGTGCAGGAGCGACTTGAATGGAACGCTAAAAATCGAAAGCTACTAGCTGCAACAAGAAAAGCTTTGAGGAAGGCTAAGAAAGTAGTAGTTGGAGCAGGGGGTAAAAAAGGGGCGGACGCGGTTGTATCTGAAGATGAAGGAGATGTCGTTGTAGGGCTAGGGAAAGTGAAGACACCTGGAGGAACAGGGACACCAGTAAACGCATCTTCTACAACAAGAATATCGACGTCAGGAGCATCAAGCGGTCGTGACAACATCAACACGACATCTTCTTCGCAAAAGGGTCTTGGTAGACCAGGTGTTGCAGAGGAGGAGGACTTGCAGCAGGAGTCGGATGGAGCACAGCTGAATGTATTTCATACTTTTCTAACTATGAGGACGAGAAGAAGTAGAACGAAGATGTTAGCAATATTACTACGATCCATTTCATCATGCCCTCTAACAATTTTCTACTAATGAATCTGTCAACATTTTTGTCTCATGAATTAATGCTCACGACCACTCCAAACCTCCACACACCTCAACAGCCTCTCCATCCGAAGCCGGTCCGTCCCTTGATTTGGGATTTGCAGCGGACCCTAGAGAAGATACCGAATATAGAGGCTGTTCACTATGCTCATGGGCTGAACTGGATGCATGACAGTTGGGGAGTGCAGGTTTGCCATGCCTTTTTGCCAACATATGTTGGTGAGAAATTGATTGGATTTTACTACCATGCACGGGATGGTGGTGGAGGCGTAAAAGTGAATGGGAACAAAGTAACAACGTCTTCAAGGAGCTCTTCTTCAAGTAGTGCTGCAGCAAGCACTAATATAGACTATATAGGAGCGTCCGGAAGTACTAGCACGAGAGCAAGTGCAAGCACGACATCTTCAGAGACTAAAGCCCAAGATGGTCGTGTGACCGTCTCCCTGACTCGATCCAGCGTCTTCTCTGACCAGTCCCACATTGTCCAGAGGGATTTCTATGACCGCTTTATTTGGCCTACTGTGAGACATACATTCGGCGGTTTCGGAGTTTTTCCGGAAGATCAGATTACGTGCGTGGTGAACAAGAGTTACGGGATATGGCATGTTGGTGACTTGTGGGATGGGGACTATGCGGCACATTTGTCTCCGGGAGAGGATTGGCGCCAAGAGGCTGCGCGCGACAGATACCTCTCAGCAGACGACGACCCGTTGTGCACAGCCTTGAGAAAACGGAAATTGACGAAGGAAAGGTTGTTACTTGGGGAAGAGGATGGACTACATGGAGATAACGGCACTAACCCAGATGAAGTCCCTCCAGACTTCTGGCAGAAAGGATTACCGGAACTAGGTACCTTTTACAGTCATGAATACACATAGACATAGCCGTAACGAAGCAGTGTGGACTGTGGAAGTGCTAACTTGTGCCGTTACCCTCAGTTCGCAGTTTCTAGCATACAAATCTTACGTGTTGTTCTCACTAACTACTCATCTCTTTAAAGTGAATCCTTATTCAACTTCTCCATATTTCACCCCCTTTTTACAGGCTACACCCACCCAGTAACGAAGGAGCGAGTACCTCTTGGGCAAATAAAAGCGTTTTCTATCGATGCATGTTGGAAACGGAAAGCAGCTAGGGAGGCTTCTCCCGCTCTACCGGTACCAGTTCAAAGCGTAGAATATGCGAGTAGTAGAACAAGCGGTTTTAGCACAGCTGCGTCAGCACTTGAATCGGAGGTACCAGGCTCCGGAGTGAAAGAAACGAATGTAGTAGCGGACAAAAATAGAGCGAAAGGGTCAACGGAGAGGCCGAAAGACAAGGAAGGTGCAACTCAAGGAACTACCGCGACGATTGCCGTGCCCTCCTCTCATCTGAGCTCCTTTTCCTCCTCCACCAGTTCGAAAAATTCCTGCCTGGGGATCCATCCCAACTTCTATTCCAAGGCGAAGGGGGATACTTTCATGCTGCACGAGACGGAACACAACGTGACACATCCCAAGTACCCTATGGGCGCGGACTATGACTATTTCTGGCAAAAGTGGACTTGTCTTTTCTGCGACGTAGTAGACGGCTACAGAAAGCCTAGTTACGTGTCTCTGAATAGGATTGAACCCCCCTGTTGGAAAGGGTCGATTCCGGTGGAGATGGAGACGTCGGGGATCAAGTAGATGTAGAACGCGTTGGAAAGGATCGATTCCGGTGGAGATGGAGACGTCGGGGATCAAGTAGATGTAGAACGCGATGCGACTACAGGACACCGCGCAAGCAGCACTCTGCCAAAAATAGAATGAAATGTAGACCGGAAGAACAGTACTGACGAAAATACAACGTTGATGAAGAACAAGCAATGAAAATTAACGACCCATCGCAATAAAACAATTAAAATTATCTCTTCTCAAAAAAACAGGAACAGAATTTCAACCATGTAACGACAAGGACAAGCACACCTTCTAAATATTTTCAACTCTACTCACGTACACGCACACTTAGAGTGTCAACTGATTTTCGAATGAATGAGCGATTACAAGAACAAGTTTCCAATATTAACAAATTATCCAACATGCGTGTTGTCTTCCTCTTTCTTCTAACAATTGAGTTTGTTGAAACTGAAACTTTCTTTCTCGCCGCGCGGATGAATTACAAATCACTCCTTGTGGTCAAGGATCCTACCCACTCAAACTCATCACTCTTTGTTCTTGTTCCTCTCAGTGAGGAGGGTAAATTAATCGCAATACTCGCCAGAGAACAAAATCACCACCAATTGCTGCGCCATCTCGTTTTCCTGCGATAAGTGCGAAGTGTGTTTTTAGTACTAGTACGACCAACTACGTTCTCCAGTTTCGCACCGGCGTGCTCATTTCCGCGCGTTTTCTGTCGTAAAGATGTTTCAATCGGGTAAAGACAATATCAATGTTTTCAATGTCCAATTCAAAAAACAGGCTCACTCAACAGTGATAGAAGGAGGGAATCAATATGGAGTACAACTTACATCAACTGAGAGGTGGCAATTGCGCCACAACATGCTTTCACTAGAAACCAGAGGGATGTAGTTTTTGACTATTTTGATAGTGCTACTAGTACTAGGTGCAAATGCAATGAAGAAATGGCTGGCTGATCTAGTTATGGTGGAGATGATATATAATGATTGAAGTTTATATTTACTAAGATTTTTAGACAGGGATGATCGCTATTTTTTCTCATGATTGAATTCATTTCCACGAGAGTGAGTTTGAGTACACAACAGCAAGAAAACTGACTTCTTGAAGGTCTTTGTCAGAACCTAATCATCAGAAAAGATGTCGATAAAGTTACGAGAGTTGATTCGGAACATCCGAGGTTGCAAGACTGCAGCCGAGGAAAGAGCGGTGATCGCCAAAGAGTGTGCCGCAATCCGAACGGCGTTCCGAGAAGAAGATTCCAACTACCGACACCGAAATGTCGCCAAACTGCTTTTCATTCATATGTTGGGATATCCAACGGCCTTTGGGCAGATGGAATGTTATGGATGGCTTTTGGTTGGATTGTTTGTTGTAATACCTCTCGTTAGCTAATGGTAGGGAGGTAGCGGTACAACTAGTATGTCTCTGCTTTTGATCTATAAAAATCTTGTTATTGTTGGTTTTCTTGAGTCAAAAAATAAACTCCCCATGATTGATCCTCAGCCCCACTCTAACCTTTCTTAAAACTGATCGCTTCCTCACGCTTCCCGGAAAAGCGTGTTGGATACCTTGGTTTGACGCAACTTTTGGATGAGAATACGGAAGTTTTGATGTTGGTGACGAACTCCATCAAAAACGACATGGCGAACGGTTCTCAGTTTGTACAGGGATTGGGGATCTGCGCTTTAGGAAACGTGGGCACAGCGGAGATGTGTGCCGCTTTGAGCAGAGAAATCGAAATGATGTTGAACATCACGAATCCGTATATCAGGAAGAAAGCAGCGTTGTGCGCACTGCGAGTGTGCCGTAAGTGCGAAGACTTGATCGAAAAATTCAGACCGAAGTTATGCAAACGAAGTCGACCGTCTATACTAGTACGCTACTGGTACAACCCACTCGAGGAAATGTAGATGGAGGTGATTCATCATGCCCCCCATGCAGTAGATGTGTTTACTTATATTCCTTGGACAACCAAGAATATTAGTCCTTGTGCCCTCCAAGAATCCCCTTTCATACTCCGTCCGCCAGCTGCTTGAGGATCGGAATCATGGCGTTATGATCAGCGGGATGGCTTTGTTGCGGTCGATTGTTGATGCTTGCCCGCCTGGGGCCGAACGGCAACAGACTCTGCGTGAATTCCGTGACCTGATTCCACATCTAGTCCGAGTTTTGAAAAACATGTTGATGTCCGGCTATGCCAACGCAGCTGAATACGACGTAGGCGGCGTAACAGACCCCTTCCTCCAGTGTATGGTTTTACGAACTCTCCGTACTTTAGGCGTGGGAAGCACAGAAGCAAGCGAGGAAATGAATGACATTTTGGCGCAGGTGGCGACGAACACGGAAGGAGCAAAAAATATCGGAAACTCGATTTTGTACGAGTCAGTCCAAACGATAATGGCGATTGAGAGCGAGACGGGGTTGCGTGTGTTGGGCATCAACATCTTAGGACGCTTTTTGCTGAACCGGGATAATAATATCAGGTACTCGACGACACGATTTTTGCAATTCATCATTGGAACAGCTCGTCTTTTACCTGTTAGTTTAGAGTACTAAGCCTAAGTACAAAAATGTAAATAATTTTTCACGGCAAAAAAACAACGCACTCCACCTACTCTTTACAGGTACGTCGCCCTCGCAATGCTTCAGAAAGTTGTGAAAGTTGACGCTAAAGCTGTCCAGCGGCACAGGCAGACGATTTTGGAATGCCTCAAGGATCCGGACGTAAGTATTCAGAAACGAGCATTGGCGGTACTGAAAACTACACTGACTTGTTATTTTGATATTGATGAGGACGTAAGACGATAATTGATTCTTCAAACTTAATAGAGTTATAGAAGCAAATAAAAACTTTTTCTTCAGGTGCTCTACAACCTAATAAGCGAGGAGAATGTGAAGCCGATGATGAAAGAACTCTTGAACTTCTTGTTGGTGGCAGATGCTGATGTCAAAGAGGAGCTAGTATTGAAGATTTGCCATTGCGTAGATCGATTCGGACCGAACAGGAGGTGGCAAGTGGATACGCTCGTGAAGGTACTTGTTCTCTTGGACTACAAATCGTGCGAAGATCTGTGTAGCTGGAGGAGAATCTTCGCTTTGTTGTAGATTGTTTTGACCACTCTTGAAATTTGCATGCCTGCTACAGACTTTTCAATTTTATTCCGAAACCTCCGAACGTATACATCCGGAAATCATGCTCAACGAACAACACATCAAAGGTAATGTGCCTTGCCGGCAATTATGTGCAGGAGGAAACGAGGTCGCACTTCTGCCAGATAGTGGGTGCTAGTGCGCCTCTTCATACGTATGTAGCGCATAAGGTGTACTTTTCGATACAGGAGAACATGAACCAGGAAGCGATGGTTCTTACGGGCATTTGGTGCATCGGAGAATATGTTACGGACGATAGATGATACTTCATGATGTAGAGACGTAGAGGTGGAGGATCTTTATTCTTTATTACAACCCTACTTGATGTGGCAACCACCTCTAACAATAGCGACTATATTACCTATTCGAGATTGTGTTCAACATGATTTTCATATAAGATGCAAAGTACCTCCTTTTCCGAATAAGAATAAAAATCGAGGCCCTTGGTCTAAAACTGACTACTCGATTAGCCCCACAATTCTGGCGAGTGTCAATTATTCGATTTACATCTTCGAATAGAGGAAGATACGTTAATATTATCCTACGTACTCGATTGGCTCCATCTTCCTCTAACAATAGCGACTACCTCGTGTCCGGCGACGCAACTGGGCCTGGTGGGGAGCCTATCAAAATTTCACCTAGCGACGTTTTAGATTTGATCGACTCCGTCTTGCGACGACCGCAGTACGCTGACGCCTACACGACCAAGCGCAGTACGACAGTGTTAGAGCATTGCGTAACGGCTTTGATCAAGCTCTGTCCGAAGATTCCCAACGAGTCGAACAGAATAAAAGAAATGCTGAAACGCTACGAAACGCACATTTCACCGGAACTGCAGCAGAGATGCTGTGAGTACATGGAAATCCTCTTGCCAGTGTGGAATTCAACTCGGGCGGACATATTGCAAAGGATTCCACCAATGGAAAAAACGGGAGGGAAGAAGGACGTATTATTGACATGCTTATCTTCTCGGTGTTGGTAGCTCTAAGTCTAGCTGGTGACCGAATTTCGATTTTCGACAAAGAACCATTCTTTGACTCACCAACGAAGTCAACATCCTGAATTGTTTAATTCGAGTAATTTCAATGCACATCCACACCCGCACCAGCATGAGTATCCATATCGCTTTACTCATGATCCAGGTCGGCGACACAGCTATTGAAGAGGTTGCTGCTTCTGGTAGTGGCGGCAACGCCAACACTCGTGGCAAAGCAGCCGCACAACCGAAGAGCGCTGGCGACGATCTACTCGACTTGCTCGATATTGGAAATGCTAAGCCGCAACAGCTAGCCATAACCAATACAGCAAAAGCAGGTGGTGGCGACGACTTGCTAGACCTATTAGGCCCAATGGGCGGAGGTGGAGCAGCAGCGACCCAATCCACTGGCCTTCCGACGCAATCCAATGGCCCTGCCGCAACATCATCGGGTGGCGGTCTAGAAGACCTATTAGGTGGTGGGGGTCCAATGGCAGCAGCAGCGGCCGCCGCACCGCCAGTAGCAGCAAATGGCAGTGGGGGAGGAGATTTGTTGGGAGACCTCCTTGGAGGTGGAGGAAGTTCGCCAGCACCAGCACCGGCTGTGCCAGCAGCAGGGGGGCTTAAGGAAATAACAGCGCTCAGCAAAAATGGACTTGTGGTACTCCATATTTATACTCTACATTTTTCTACCTGGGCTTTTCTTTCTACGTAGATAATTGTGAGATGATTCTTACTCTGATTTTAAAAACTTCTTAGTTTGGGATTGCTGCAAAAAACCTTCAGATTCGTTTCCTCTGTGCGAAGCAAAGCGACGTTGTCACCAAAGTCGAAGCCGTATTTGACAACCAGCAGAGCGTTGCTTTCGAGTCGTTCGCTTTTGAGGTCGCGGTCCCAAAGTATCTGAATCTGCAGATGCAGCCGGCCTCAGCTGCGGTACTCCCACCGCAATCCGTAGGACAGGTTAGACAGGTGTTTCTGATTCAAAACCTGCAACAGAAGGCGATTGCGATTCGTATGAGGATTCGGTTCACGGTGAACGGACAGGCGGTTACGTTGCAGGAACAAGTAGACAATTTCCCGACGCTGTAGAACTAGAAGATGAACTATGGAGAATGTTTGATATGAGAATCGTCACTCGTGGTCGTGTAAAGATGTCATACGTAGTACGCGGTCGAAGAAGAGCGTTGATAAAAACAACTAAGTCTAAGGTTTACTTGATTGTTGCTAAATTATACGACTATGAACTTCAAAGAAGTGGAGCCACTTAAAACCATTAGTTGATGGTCATCTTACATACTTCCTTCATCGCTCGATGTCTAGCACTGAATGACTCCTTTTTGTAAATAGAAGAATTTGCACAACAAGTTTTTATGCTACAACTAACATCAGACTCTACTTCTACAACTCTTCCGTCCACTTTTTACATGATTTGGTCTCCCGCCCAAGACGGAGGATAATGAAGAAAACCCTAAAACTAACTAAGAAAACCCTAAGATCGGCTTGCCTAGAAGCCCGAACCGGTGAATCCCTTTTACCGACCCAAACACATAATCGACCCACAAGTTGGTCGTACAGGACAGTTCTCAACAACTCTCACAAGTCCACGTTCGTTTGCTTCTGCCCTGGCAGACAAGCTGTTGCGCTGATACTACTGGACGAAAGTCAGAAGTGTTTAACCTCCAATGCAACATAGTTATGCACGACTCGTGTCGGTCTACATTGCCTATCGGTTCGGCTTCCGCGCCAAAACAGTGTCTTCCTCGGTTTTCTCTGACGCGTGCGCATCTCCTCTACACAGTCTCCAACCAAAATATCGGTACTACATCGGTATCTTCGGTCATGATTTGCCATTCATTTCGCTTCTGTGTAAGAACACCAGAGCAGCATGCAGACCTACCTTTCCCCTTTAATTCCCGCACACTTGTTCCTGTTACCACGACAAGTAAACAGTTTTATACTCTAATATAGAGTTCACTATAATTTTGATCGAGTACGAGGTCTACTAGGACGAAACACGCTACAATTTTGGAATTCTACAGGATGAAACACATCAATCATAATTACTAATAACTACGATAAACATCAAGTTACAGAGAAAAAAAAGATGTCGCTTCTCCTCCATGCCCAGCACACCACGTCGACCGCAATAAGAACAAGCTTCCTTGACGATGGCACGTCAAATTTCAACTTCCAGAAGCACGAAGACCCGAGCATTTACGAGAGACTTGCCAAAATTCCAGTTGCAAGGAGAGACATCGGAACGGCCATGCAACCACGAATTTTCTGTAATGGTGAAGGTGTGCCACGGTTTGGGATAAGGTTGGAAGATGTCGAAGTGGAAGCAGAAGCAGATGCTTCTGGAAATGTAAATAGCTATAGCACTGCTGGTGTTAATAATATCAATCAGGAATGGCGCCTAGTGGATCTGCTGCAGGGAACACCCAGTACGACTGGTGACGATCCAGTGCCGAATTACCTTCATTTACCCGACTATCCTCTTGACCACAGTGAAGATCACGTTTTGAGCTTTGCAGGCTTCAGGCCTGGAACTGGCTTTTCTCGTGCTCATAGTGGTAGGAAAATAGAGGTAGTAGGCTTAGAACCGGCTGCGGGTGGAGAGGAGGGGGGAAGCTACGCGAAGCGCACGACGGAAGTAAAGCTCCTGAAGAAGATGGACGACGTTGCAGTACCGCAAGCGCGTGTTGCAAGTAATAGCTCGACGACTAGTGCTGGGCAGAAGAAGAAGCCTGCTCCGTCTTCCAAGAGCAAGTGGATGATGAAGATGGCTGAGAAGATTAAGACGACGAAGAAAGGGAACGAACTAGCTGGTCCTGCTGCGAAATATGCGAGTTCTGCTCGTCTAGATCTTGAAGGATCTTCGACTTCTATGTTAAGTTCGCCATCGACTGCGTCATCTTTCAAAGAAAAAGGAAAAGCAAAAGTAGAACAGCCACCCTCCAAGGAGCAACCCAAAGCCAAAGGAACACAACCCTCTCATCCTGGAACAAACCAGTCGACTGGTCAGAAACTCAAGAATCTGATGATCCGACCAAAACAAGTAGAGTCCGAAACTACGCACTTCGTCAAATCCTACGATCAAACGTTTGATCCGAGCAAAGTACGACCCCTAGTCATAAAGGTCGAAGGCGAATCACCTGGATTTTGGTCAAGATACACAGAAAGCAATTGTAAAATTGGAGATGGTCGTGGAGCTGATGATGATGACGACAGTGGTTCATCTGGCGCAGGTGGAGGTCAACTACAAGAGGATGATTCACAAGAACTAGCGCAAGGAGCCAAAAGTAAATCCACAATTCTTAATCATCATGTGAATAAAGCCTACCCTTTTCGGTGTTACAATGTGACAACACTATCACCCGCAGCTGAAAATGCTAAACACTTTCTTTTTTAACCAAAAGAGCAAAAAAGGAGAGAAATTAAAGACCTTCAGTGAAAGGCACTGCAAACACCTCCTGCTAGGCATGTTCATTCACTCACTCAATCACTCACTCATAGTCATAGAGTTCTAAGCGGCTAAAACTCTACAAAGAGGTAGAGAAGCCACCTGTGCTGTGGTTCGTTGTTCTACTCGAGCATTCTTCGTCAATATGAAAAACACACTGGCCAGCGTTAGGGTTACCATTTTTCTCTCTGTACTTGTACGAGGAGACGGTGATGCTTGAAAGACCTTGAACTGCCATAGATTGTTGTTGAAGTTTTCCGCCGACCTCGTTATTTTGCTGACGTCTATATCACGCAAAAGAAATCATGTCCTCTATTCGTACCGAAGATTCGGCACACCCGCACGTGGGCCGTAAGCAACGACAGAGTGTCCACTCACGAAACAAGAAGGGAGCGTCATTACGTGGCCTCTTTGTCTTACGCAACGCGTTTAGGCCTGAGGAGATGCAAAAAACCCGCGACCAAGCAGCGGCTCTTCTGAGCGATGAGCATAATCAGTTTATGCATTTGGGCGGGAATTTGCCGAATTGGGTTCAGGATACGTTGTTATCCGGATTAACGGAGAAGATGGAGGAGGTGTTGGAGCGGGGACTATGCTGTAGTTTGGCGGATCATGAAGCTGAAGGGAGAAGCGCTGCTGAAGGGGAAATAATAGAGCGAGGGACGGAAGATGATACGAACACTAAAGCGATAGGACGTCCAGTTATCGTACCTGTTGTGGTTCCATTAGATGAAGATTTCTTCTTAGACACACGAAGACACGACGGGAACGATCCAGAAAAGGAGAAGGCGTCAGATGAAGCTCCTCTGACGAAGGTTAAGATTTTTGAAGGCGCAAGAACATCATCAAGGAATCGCCTTTGCTTGGAAGTTTACGGTTTAGATTTACCTAGCCTGCAACAAGGATATCAAGCTGACGATGGTGTTGGGGAAAGCTTGACGAAGGCCTTTGAAACACGTTGTACTGGTGTTACTAGCAAATCCTCCGTGCCAGCACCCGATGTTGAGGGAAACCACGCCAGCCCGTGCGTCGCTTCTGATGAAAGCAAAAGCAAGAGGCGTCGAATAGATGACGAGGAGCGCGAGACTACTGAGCACGCATCACGATCACATCCAAAGTCTATACGTTCCCTGTCAGACCAAGCAGAAGCCGCTTGCGAATCGTTGATGCATAACTTTTTTGACTTCGATCAATTTAGAGAAAGTTTCGACTCTATGATAGTGAATCGATATTATCAGGCAGATGGAGAATGCGAAAATAAAGGTGGAGGCTATCTAAAACCACATTTGGATTTGCTTCGCTTTGGACATTGTATTCTCGGATTTTCGTTATGCGGAAAAGCAGTGATGCAGTTTTTTGAAATCCTGCCGAAAAGTCAAAATAAAGGGGGTACCTGCTCCGAAATCATCAAACCAAGAGATTTAGTACCGGGAGATGGCGATTTGGTCCTCCCAGGAGAAGAGCAACGGCTAGTCGAAGATCAAAGATTGGGGAAGCTTTTGCTTAGCTTACGCCTCAACCCTGGAGACGTCTACATTCTAACAGAGTCAGCAAGATACGCGGTCGCACATGGTATTCATTCAGTGGAAGGAGAACGGATATCCGTTACTGTGAGACAGTGAAGAGGAGCTACATGAACATGATTTAGTTTTAGTTGTACCCTAAACCCACCAAATTCAACTTTTCCGGTTCTGTCTCCCCATTCCTGCACGACCACAAGATGATGAAGCTGAAAGACTTTCTTGTCGTAACTTCGTATCGATTGCACCCGGAGTATTTCAATTTCACGACCGTCCTCGATATCGATTGAGAGGACAGTTTTTGCATAACTTCTTCTAGTGCTTGCAAGTTGACGTTCGATGTACTTTTGCTGATGTATAATTCTCTCGGTGTCAGTAATGGAAGCTGGAAGGAGTTTCACTGATCGGCAGAGGTTGACTCGGTTCGCGATTTTGAACGGTCGGACATGTATTAGCAGAAAAAACAAGCAGACATGAATATTCATATCAAGTGTGTGCTTAGAAGAGAGGAATTATACATGATCATGTCGGAGGACAAGAGAGACGTGAAGATGGTCGAGCTCGAAAAGAACCAGTTCGTTGCCGTAGCAGCTGATACATGCCTCTTCACAAAAAAATCGAAGTAACTACAAGTTTGATTTGTGAATCGAGAAAAATATGGATTACAGGAAAGCGCCGAGTACAAGGCATGAAAACTGTGAAGAAAATTGAAATTGTTTGAGAATATTGAAAACCTTCGACGGCCATTTGCCGAATAAAGTATGCTTACAAGAGGACCGACCCAGCGCCACGCGCGTTTTCACTAAGAGGAAGGCACTTCAGCGGCACGAGAAGAACGCGAATGAAAACCAAGAAGAACAAGGAGAAGAAGAGCAAGTCAACTGAAAAGCATCAACATCAACTCGTAAAGCAAAAACCGATCATCAAAAACATTCACGATGAGAGCTGCGCGACCCCAAAGTGCTCATCCTACGAGCAGGGAGGCGAATTTCCACTCCGGATGGACTGCAAATTCGCATAATGTCAGGTAATGAGTCTAAATTTTTTCATCTCCCTTTCTGTTCACTGAACATTCCGCTTAAGTCGTCGTTCTCCTTACAAAGGAGTTAATAGAGAATCACCATCAAATATAAAATATTTTTCTTCGACTCCACCTCTCTCGTCCCCCACTCAGACCCACGACTGCAGCCACCTCAAGCAGTCGACCGAAATCCGCCCTGACCCGACCCGGACGACACCAGCATGGCGGGACCAATCACTACGCTTCACCAGCAAGTGGAGGACACTATAATCAGGCGATGAAAGCAGCTGCAGCTGCAGAGCAAGGACCACATGAGTTTCAGTACAAGAATGGAAGTCTTTTCGCTCCACCCTCTGCGGGACCGACAAGAGCCCGACCACAGACAGCCTCAGCAGGACGGATGCATGGCACCATTATGAACCTTGGAGGCGCGCCCGTAGTATCACCTGGAGGGGGACAACAACTTATGTTGACTACATATATGAAGATGTCATCTATACACTTTTACACTTTTTGCAGTAAGTAAAAAGTGATTCTTCTTTTTTTTTCCTCCTGCCTGATATCGATTTTTCTGATTGTTCTTCACATACTGTGAGTAGCAACTGGATCTGGAACAATTGCACTAGTAGAATGTGTGAAGATCATTTTAGATTCTTTCAACTGTCCTTCTTCTAATCCCGACAAAACCTTCAGCGGACTCAAAGAGAGCGGATCCCGCACAGAATTTTCGCGCACCGACTTGACCCAAACGTTGCACACCATCAAAGCGCAAATCGAGAAAGAGAAAGCCAGATTGACCGCTCCTAATTTTACGGCTATTGATAGACCATTTATCTTCAACATCCATCTTCACTACAGAGTGGGCACATGCTAACCCGTCTCCTTTAGTTTCCTGCATCCTTCTTGGGTTCTCAGTCTAAATGAACTACGTAGCGGTAGCTAGGTCGTCGGAGTAGATGAATGTATTTTGCGAGCTCTTCTAAAAATTGGCGCCTACCACCTGCTCAGAGACCTCAGACAGCTGGAGTCGGTAGGAAAGATCCGACTGACCACTTCTACGAGCGTCCAACCTCGCCAGCCGCGTCGACCGGACGTGGCGCCGGACGCGTGCGGTCGCAAGCGGTTGGGGCTACAACAATTAAGGCATCCTCGAATTCACATCGATTCATCCTGCCGGTAGGTGCTGCATACCTATTTGGGATGCACAGAATAGAATCACGATCTCCGTAGGGATGATCCCTCAACCGTACTATCCAAGAGACATCCATCACGGTAAATGCGCGCTTAGATAGGTGGCTCTGCGAGCCCGCGCTAGCTTTTCTACAAGGCAGGCCACTTCCCTGCTCTTTGAATTTGCTTGTAGGTTCGGGCCACGACCCCGATTCACGTCACGCGGTGGCGCACTTGTAGACAGTAGACAACAAAAAACCTCATTAAAGGGATGAACTGAGGCAAGCTCTAAAAAAATACGATATGGCGGAACCACAACTACTACGCCTAATGCTAATGTCCAACAAGGTGGATCTTCTAGTTCTAGTGGAGGCAATCGGTACCCGTTTTTGACCAGCAAAGGGTCATCTGGGTCGCAGAAACAGCTAGGCCACTCGTCGTCAGGAGGACAGATCGGAATGGGTGGTGGTGGTTCCTCATCATCTTCCTCTGGTGCTGGTGCCAGACGTGCTCGACCAAGTAGTGGTGGCTACGTGAGAGGAACGTCAGGGAAAATAGCATCGCAGCTTGCGGGAAGCAATAACAATTACATATTGGGAGGTAAGATTCCCCCAAGAAAAAATAGTTCGTCATCAAGTGCCGGAGGCGGTGCACCTGGCACGCCTGGTGCAGGTAGTAACTACAGCAATCCGAGCAAAACGCAAAGGCCTGGAGGACATAACTTCCTTGGCGGCGGCACGGCAGGAGCCTCACGACCAAGCTCAGGAAAGGCGCGGACCACAGGAAATACCTTCCATTTTCCGCTAGGTGTAGGTGGCAAGCTCCCGACGCGGCCTAAAACAGCAGGCCTCGAACGAACCGGCGGGGGCATAAGGAGCGGCATGACCACGTCACTCAAGGAAGCAGTAGATAGATCAGGGAAGAAAATAGAATCAAGCGTGGCAGACGGGGGTCACTACGTCACTGGCAGAACGATAGGACAGGGAGCTTATGCGGTACTTTTGACTTGTTGAGGTTCGTGTTACGCACTAGTGAGTTTTTTTGATTACAGGATGGATCGATTCTTCGCTTTCTCTCTACTTACCAAGATTTGCTTGAGCAGGACGATAATTGTCATTGTTTGTTCAACAAGAACAACAAGAACAATTTAACTAGGGAAGTTGCTCCTCTGGACCCCACGTGGCAAATATAGTGGGCTAGGAAGTTCCTCTTTACTGCAACAAGATTTTTTTAGCTTCCTTGACTATTTTGAAAACGAGAAAGAGAGAAGAAAAACGCTCAAGCAGCTTGAGAGGCTCAAAGAGTTGCAACGTCGAACGCGAACG